TCAAAATCCGTTCAGATATTTTGAACCGATTGATATTTTGAACGGTTTATAAATTTTCAAAATCCATTCAGGATTTTTGGCTAAAACTTGGATACTTTTTTTTCACTATTTTGCTATATAAAGAAACGGTTTGGCTGATCGTCTCACGAAAGTTTCAACTAATGGGTTTTGACTAATTGAAGTCATTGTTAAAGAAAAAGGTTAAATTTCGGTTTACATATAATATAATACACCTACTTTTTCTAAATTTGGTCTCAAATGACTAAGGATGACTTGAGAAAACAGTAAGTTATCAAGTTTCTGAAGAAAACTAAAGAGTTTGTATATTTCTTATTTATCATATCCACATATATGTTTATTTGCACTATGATGATTTGGGTCATATGAGTGATGTATGTCTCTTGTTGACTTGGAAACAGTATTTTGTTATTATTTATCTTGTAATTTACAAATTGCGTATTCGAATTCAAGAATTTGCTTCGATTTATCGGTTATCAACCTGCCGAGATGTGGCGTGACATGCGGATAAGATAGAGAAATTTAAAAGCACCTACGAAATATAATTAATTGCACTTGAGATAATATTTATATGGAATGACATGGCGTTAATAATATTTATTAATTTTTGATATCCACGACTGGAACATCAGTGGGTAAATTAAATGCCAATGCATGATTGGATTGTCCAGGTATAATATGGCATTATTAATTTAAAAAAAAAATATTTCCTTACCTTTAACTTTATCATAAACGCCCTGAGATTGGGCCCAGGCCGCTTCTACCACAGGCAGTTTCATCATGCGTTCCAAAGACTCCAAATGGGGCAGCAAAGAAGGGTTGCTTTTGGCCCCTTCGACTTTTTTCTGTGACAAGGCGCATTGGTTGGTGTCTGGTACTTTATCGGCCATTTTTCTGAATAGGAAAAAAATGATTAAAATTGAAATATATTCCCACATTCTGAGAGCAATAAAACAATAAATTTTACTAACAAGAAGAGCGATTGTAAAGTTTATCTTTGGTGAGTCTAAATATTTGTACAAAATTGTCTCATTTTTTTTTTTTTTAATTTTTTGTATATCGAAAATAATTCAGATTTTATTTTTAATCCCGACTATAGTTCTAATATACTTTAAACAAATAATTTCAACTCTGCAATTCAGTTCATATAATTCTTATAAATATTAGACAATGTTACAATATTTATAATAATCTATTTGAAAACATTCAGTATTCCTCGAACATTTTGTTACGGTACGGGAAGTTCCAGCAATTTGCCTTAAGGCACGATGCCACCCACCCCACTAGTTTTCTATCTATTCTCAGGTGATGAGGATTGCCTTATCATAAACATAAAAACTCCACAAATTTCAAACAAACAAAAATTTCCTGTTTTATTCTGGATTCATGGTGGAGGTTTCGTAAGCGGTTCTGGAAACTTAGATTATCATGGACCAGATTATTTTATAGATTATGATATCATTTTGGTCACATTCAATTATCGCCTGGGACCTCTTGGTTTCCTAAATTTGGAATTGCAAGAAGCTCCAGGAAATGTTGGTCTGATGGATCAGGTGAGAATTGAAATTATTTTTGTCATCCTAAAAGATGGCATATTTGTTCACACAAACTATTGTAGGTGGAGGCGTTACGATGGACAAAAGAAAATATAGCAAAATTTGGAGGTGATCCTGATAATATTACAATTGGAGGCGTTTCTGCAGGGAGTGCAAGTGTCCATTACCATCTACTGTCTCATAGTGCAAGAGGTCTTTTCCAAAAGGCAATTATGCATAGTGGAAGTGCTTTTCACCCTTGGGCTTTCCAAAAACACCACATTAAGGTAAAACATAATAGAACTTAAAAAAGCTAATGTGAAAGTAGCCAGACTAAAAAAAGGAATGCCAGAGTTTTTGGTTATTACATCTTTTACCTTTTTTCAGCGTGCTTTCCAACTATGTGAAGCCTTAGGTCATTCCACCAACAATACTAAAGACGCACTTGACTTTTTATTAAAACTACCTGCAGACAAATTATTAGCAAAAATGCCCCCAGAAGTTGAAGGCGAACTGATCCAGGATTTTATTTTTGTTCCATCAATCGAAAAAGTATTTCCAAATCAAAAACCATTCTTAGAAGAATCACCATTCACCAGAATGGTATCCGGAAACTATCACAAAGTACCACAAATAGTTGGATTCAACAGTGGCGAAGGGATTTTTTTCAACTTCTTCCTGCAGGAAAATCCTGATATACTAAACCAATTCGAAGCAGACTTCCAAAAATTCATACCAACTGATCTGGACCTGTCTCATGGATCTGAAGACTCTAAATCTCTTGCAGAAAAAATTAGGAAATTTTATTTTGATGATAAACCTGTTGCAGAAAACGTGCAGAAATTAGTAGATGCAATCAGTGACAATTGGGTAACCAGAGGTGTAAATGAACAAGTTAAATTGACAGTGGAAAAACAAACTGAACCGGTTTATTTTTATGAGTATTCATTTTCGGAAAGTCATCCTGCCAAAGAAATGTTTGGTGATCATAATCTGACTGGTGTTTGTCATGGTGAGGAATTAGTTAATTTATTTAAACTGAAAGTGATGTCTCTGGATGAAGATAAGCCAAATGTTTTGTTAACTCAGAAAAGGATGCTGGAAATGTGGACAAATTTTATTAAAACAGGGTAAGTTATATTTTAAACTCAATATAGTAAAATATACAAATAAAAAAAACGAACGATATGAAACTTTTTTCGAACACTTTAAAGTTTTTTGATGGTATTGTTTGATTTTTCAGCCAAATTTAAGTTAGATTAGATTAGATGTATTAGATGCATTAGATATACAATTCACTATGTTCAAAAATAACAAAACAATCAATATATAAAATACAAATGAAGGAATACTATAATAATTTTGTGTCTTGATTTTATGAAACTTGATATTAAGTCTTCGTTTAGAGCATCTTCAAAAGTTAAGGTCCTGTATATCCATTGATTCGCAAAATTTTTAAAAAGTTTAGAAGCTTTTCTGAAAAAAAGAGCAGTATCAGAGACGAATATGTTTTCGTAAATTTTGATCAAAATAGTTAATTAACGAGTTTTGCTTTACAATTTTGATAAGAATCCTTGAACACTTAATTTTTCTCGAAATTACTATTTTCTACAAAATGATCATTTTATTGCTGGAAACTGATGAAAAACTATTTTAAGCAAGTGTTTAAAAATTACTATTAAATTTTTATAGACATTAGTTTTCTAGGTTTTATAATATGTATCTACTAAATAATTTCAAAATAAGAAAATCTCAAATAATATTTCAGGAATCCAACACCAGAAATCACAGATGTACTTTCTGTTAAATGGGAGCCTGCCACAAGAGATAAATTGAATTATTTAAATATTGATTCAAATTTGACTTTAGGCACAAATCCAGAAAAAAATCGTGTTAAATTTTGGGAGGATGCTACTAAACAGCACAGTCAAGTGCGAGTCGAACTCGTACATTAAAGTAATCAGTAACTATAATAAATAGTTCGAATGAAATTGTACTATAAGGTTTGTTTTAAGTCGTATATGGTTATATGGTGTACTAAAAGTTTATTTCATTATACATAATGTTTGTAGGAAAAACTGTTTAGCAGACAACTTATTTATGGATAATGATAAAGTACTTGCTAAAAAAGAAAACAAATATTTGTATACTACGTGATTACACTTGCGATTTATTGTGATCAATAAGAACAAATATTTTAAAGTATGAAATCATAAGTCCTAATTCATATATGCATTTTAAAGTAGGTAAAACGATATTATTTTATGATCTTATCTATAACATTTTTTCATCAGCACTAATATTTTTTAGTCCTGCCATTAATTTCAAAAAACCACTATTTAATTAAATTGTATATAATTGAAATAGAAGTATAATATAAATAAGTTGTATTCCTGGTAGATTAAAAATAAATTTAAAAAATTTAAAAAGCTGAAATAAATATGAATTTTAATTGTGCATTGCAAAATCTTCAAATTAAAGAATTACTACTTACATTCGGTTTTTGATTCAAAATAAAAAAAGCACATTATGAGAGATAGAATAATATTACATTTAATAATGTATTTCATAACTAACTATTATCTAATCTTAAAAGCAGTCGTGTGTGTGAATAATTTTTGAATATTTATATAAAGTGTTATCAGTCAATGTTTACTAACATAAAACAAATATTTTCCGTGTTTGCGTTTGGTTTGCTTGCTAAATAACAACAAATGGAAAAAAATTATCAATAAATGAATATCTTTCACTTTTTATTTAAAATATAAGATTTATTAATTTTAGATAAATATAAATAATTTTAGATAGATATATAATTATAGAGTGAAGAGTACGTAACCACGAGACTACGAGTTTGAATCTAGCGTTGGGTGCAGCTTGATATCAAACAGTAGTAATATCCATTTTGAGATAAACAATTGAAATTAGGAAAATGTCGCATGTACTAAAATGTACTAACTAATCAGCACGTTTCCTTATCAATACTAATCTAATGTTTTTTGAATTATTCAAATCGGTTGATCCGTGCTCTTGAAATCGTCGACGACAATTTGTATCCGCACACACACACATACATCCATTTTTTCTAAGGTATGCCAAAATGTTCAGAAACCTTTGAAACGTAAAGATATAAGAAAATTTTCATTTTCGATTTTGTGCGATTACTATAACTTCTAAGTACTCTTATGCGAGTATCATACACCTAAAACTATTCCAATTAAAAAAACATAAGGATATTATTCATCTGCCCATATCAAAGATGAATGTTCTTACACAATGCTACTACAAATAATCACTAGAAAAAATATTCCAGTTGTACATTGTGAGCAAACAAAAAAAAGCATAATTGAACTTGATGATCCGTCTTAATCTGATAAACTGTTCCACACATTGACATAATAACCTCGCACATTATATAATGGATGTCTTCTAATATTTCGTGTGCACTGTGTGCTAATAATTCAGTACACATAGTCAATAGTCTAGATCCAAGATGTCTCGTGTTATTTTTTTAAGTTGTATTTTTTTGTTTAGTTTTAATTTTATAAAATGTGATTCCCCGACTGTAACTTTGCCCCAAGGCGAATTGGTTGGAAAAGCTTTGACGAACGAAAATGGAAAAGAGTATTTTAGCTACACAGGTGTACCTTATGCTAAACCTCCTGTTGGAGAACTTAGATTTAAGGTAATAATTGAATTTGTAATTTTTAAAGATATCATGTCATACTCAAATCTGTAGTCAGAATACATATTTTTATTTTGTGTCTTTGAACAGTATTTTTTCCTTTCAAAATTAGATGCCAATCATTGTAACTCGATAAAGATTTGCTTTGATTCGTTTTTGCGACGATCGGTAGAGGCATTTTTGTTGACTAATGTTACATTTGTTACTATTTTATATCGAATCCATCCGGAGTACGATTTATTCTATTTTTGAAATTATATATAATATATTTAATATTGATAATAATATTAATATAATTTCCTGTAATTATAGAAATTTTAAGGAAGATACTCAAATCACTTTGGAAAGTTTTATACTGAATAATTTAAACAATTTTTAGCCAGTTATTTGCAATTAACGACAAGATTAAAAAATATTATATAGTGGTTATGAATAAAAAAAGTTTTAGATTCATAGAAAACGAGTACGATCATTTAGAGTGTAAATATTTTTTTATAATTATTACATTTTTTATGAACAGCCTCCACAGAAAGCTGAGCCATGGCAAGGTGTTTTCAACGCCACATTATACGGAAATGTGTGTAAATCTTTAAATTTCTTCTTGAAGAAAATTGAAGGTAATTTCTAATAATAAATATAATTGATTAGTTTCTTTTTATATTTTTATTGGCCCCGCTTACTTAAAGCATTTGGCCATCTACAACATTTCTTTTTTACATTTTATACTATTTTATATCAAATAGTTTTATGAGTGCCATTTTTACCAAAATTAAAATTAATCGTATTTAATCTAAAATTAACTTGGTTCAAGAGATTCCAAAATAAGTAGCAATGTATATGGAACTATTATGAAGAAAAATGTAATTTAGGTATTATTACTGAAAACAATTAATATATAGTACAAGATTATGGGCAACATTATTGAAGCAATTATTTTGAGTGAAAAAATCCAATGTACCTTTACCACGGATACTATATATTAATCCTATCTGAATTCGTTATACTGTTTAAAAGACTGCAATTTCCAATATGATATAAATCACAAAGGCAGACGATGAATTTCTGACAAAATAATTTTGTTTGTTGTTAAGTGTTGCTGTTTTGTTAATTTTTCTCTTATATTTATAGTTTCTATTGCTGTTTTGTTATTTTTTGTCTTATATTTATAGTTTCTTTACCAATCCACATATATTATAATTACCTAGTTTTACTAATTTTTTATACTGTTTTTAGATCCACTGATGATGACCTTAAATTGAATGTCGAAACGTTTGGAATTAAAGATTAATTTATAAATCTTTGCTTTTTATTTTTTGATGTATCGCCCCACAAGTGCTTACTCATATATATATATATATATATATATATATATATATATATATATATATATATATTAGGATGGTCCTTAATTTGGGCATTTTCGAATTTTCTTGCTCCCAATAGCTCAAATGGTTCCAAATTGATAAAAAACAATTTTCTGAAAGTTTTAGCTCTTAATATTAACTTCTAGATAGTGCGCAATTCAATCAAACTTTGTATGGAAATAACATAAAAAATATGTTTGAAAATTATATTATATTATAAAAAAAAATTTTATGTATAACTTAGCGACAAATGAATTAAAAGTGAGAATTCATTTCTGGCGTGTGAGTCGGGCATGCTACTGACTGAACTATTTCCGCCATAAATTGAAACAATGTATAATTATTTAAAAATATAATTATAAATTATATCATTAATTTTCTTCTCAGGAGACGAAGACTGCTTGGTAGTAAACGTGTACGCACCAAAAACAACTTCTGATAAAAAACTTCCAGTATTTTTCTGGGTTCATGGTGGTGGTTTTGTGACTGGATCCGGAAATTTAGAATTCCAAAGCCCAGATTATTTAGTAGATTTTGATGTTATTTTCGTAACTTTCAATTACCGATTGGGACCTCTCGGATTTCTGAATTTGGAGTTGGAGGGTGCTCCAGGAAATGTAGGATTATTGGATCAGGTAATGTAAGAAAAATTAAAATAAATCCAACAATCATATGAACAAAATTTATAAATATACTGCTTGAAAATTTGTGTATAGTATTGTTGATTTCTGGTTCACCAGGTGGCAGCTCTGAAATGGACCAAAGAAAACATTGAGAAATTTGGTGGAGATCCAGAAAATATTACAATTGGTGGTGTTTCTGCTGGTGGAGCAAGTGTTCATTATCTTTTGTTATCTCATACAACCACTGGACTTTACAAAAGGGCAATTGCTCAAAGTGGAAGTGCTTTTAATCCATGGGCCTTCCAGAGACATCCAGTAAAGGTTAGTAATGAAAAATGATAAACGATTAGATGTACAAAAGAATTTTGTACGCGTATAATTTTATAAATCTGTATTTTTATTTTCATTACAGCGTAGTCTTCAACTTGCTGAGATATTGGGTCATCCCACAAACAATACTCAAGATGCTTTAGAATTCTTACAAAAAGCCCCCGTAGACAGTCTCCTGAAGAAAATGCCAGCTGAAACAGAAGGTGAAATAATAGAAGAGTTTGTCTTCGTACCATCAATTGAAAAAGTTTTCCCATCCCACCAACCTTTCTTGGAAGAATCACCATTGGCCAGAATGAAATCCGGATCCTTTAACAAAGTACCTTTATTAGTTGGATTTAACAGTGCAGAAGGACTTTTGTTCAAATTCTTCATGAAAGAAAAACCAGAGATGCTGAACCAAGCTGAAGCAGATTTTGAAAGACTCGTACCAGCCGAATTTGAATTAGTCCATGGATCAGAGGAATCGAAAAAACTTGCAGAAAAAATCAGGAAGTTTTACTTTGACGATAAACCCGTTCCAGAAAATGAACAGAAATTTATTGACTTGATAGGAGATATTTGGTTTACTAGAGGTGTTGACAAGCATGTCAAGTTGTCTGTGGAGAAACAAGACGAACCAGTTTATTATTATGAATATTCCTTCTCGGAAAGTCATCCTGCAAAAGGAACATTTGGTGATCATAATCTGACTGGTGCATGCCATGGAGAAGAACTTGTGAATTTATTCAAAGTCGAGATGATGAAGCTGGAAAAAGATAAACCTAATGTTCTATTAACAAAAGATAGAGTACTTGCCATGTGGACTAACTTCATCAAAAATGGGTAAGTCAAATTAGCGAAAAAACAAATTTTATAATGATTAGATGTGATTGGATCTCAATAATTTTTTTAAACTAAATTTTAGAAATCCTACTCCTGAAGTAACAGAATTATTGCCAGTTAAATGGGAACCTGCCACAAAAGACAAGTTGAATTATTTGAACATTGATGCCACCTTAACTTTGGGAACAAATCCTGAGGCAAACCGAGTCAAATTTTGGGAAGACGCCACAAAATCTTTGCACGGTCAATAATAATTTATGAAAATTGTTTTAAATACTTTAGGTAATATATTAGGTAAATAAAAATTAAAAAATAACAATTTTTATGTTTTATGTATTGGCTTATGTGTATCAGTTCTAATTTTATTTATTTATTCTTGTTTTGCTTGTTTTGAAATATCATGGTTTTAATTTTCAAAACACAACGTCGTTTGTTTTTAGCAAAATTTCCAATAGATATGTTATATTAAGTACTCTGAAGTATTTTTATATATACACTAAAATCAGTAAAAATACATTAACTAAAAATATAAGATATTTTCAATAATTTTTTTTAAAGAAAATACCAAAAATAAAGTAAAATTCCAAACGGAATTTTTGTTTAACTTAAAAATAAAATTAACTCTTCAATAATTTTGATAATTAGTATTTCTGATATCATTAGTGGAAATTATATTTTGATAATACGTATTTATATTTAAAATAAAATTATATTTAAGTAAAATTCCAAACGAAATTTAAGTTTTACTTAAAAAACGAAACAAATTATACAGTCTACATTATGCTAATATCATTAAAAGCATATGAAAATACATAGAAAAAAAGAAATTTTAAATTTTTCACAGTAATTATGCCATATTTTTAAGTAAATCAATATGTATTTATATTTAAAATAAAACATTTGATAAAAGTACAAATATAAATACATACACCCACACACACAGATACACACACACATATATATATATATATATATATATATATATATATATATATGTTTACATCAATAAAAATAGTATGAGAGTTTTCAGAAATTTATCTATTTGAAATCAATACGTTTCGGCTAGCATCTTAGCCTTCATACAGTGGCCATCAATTTAACTATAAAAATTAAAACTAAATAAATAATATGTAAGAAATTTTATAGAAAAACAATAACGATATTAATAATAATAAGAAAACACTTACAATTTTGTATCTTAATATAACATATGAAAACATTATTAATCCATAGTTACCATGAACTTTTCAAATGTAAAAGTATATAAATTTGCATTTTCGATTTTTTTGCGATTACTATTATTATCCTACAGGAAGTTAAAAATTAACTTTATAATATAGGATTTTTTTTGATGTAGTAACTTTAAACTTAATGCATCCAGGGAATTTTTTTTTGACAAAATTTCTGGAAAAATAATATTTTCTATGTCACACATATATTATATTACAGACAAACATTTTTGCCAAATCTCGTATGTCAGATCATGTGGATATTTTTGCCTCTGACACATATGAATGACATGGTTACATAAGTCTCATTAATCTGATAGTATATTACAGATTATAGACATAATGATGAGCACCAATTAATGTTTAAGATGATTTGTCTTGAAATTTTAGAGAATAGCAAAAAACTATTCTAGATACCGTTCGTGATACAGACAAAAAACTAGCATTGAACTTGATGATCTGTCTTAATCTGATAAATTTGTTCGACATAATAACATCGGGCAACATTATATAACGTATTACTTCCCAAACATTTGTATCATTGTGTACCGACCATTCAGTAGGTACACATAGTCTATTGAAGCATAACAATATATTTAAAATGATGTATAATTTATTTTTAACCATTTTTATTACTTTAGTTAGTGTTAATTTAATAAATTGTGATCCGACTGTGACTTTGTCTCAGGGTGAATTAGTAGGAAGAGTTTTTACCAATGAAAATGGAGTGGAGTATTATGGTTACTTGGGAATTTCTTATGCGAAACCACCCATAAGAAAATTGAGATTTAGGGTGAGTTTTGAGAAAACAAAATAAATTTATCAAATATAGTTACAAAAATTTCTTTTTTTTAATTGCGTAGTATAGTAAGAAAAGGACGATTCGTTTTTTTTAAATATTTTTTTTAATAATCTTGAGACTTCTTGGTAAAATGGTAAACCGTTGGGTTGTCTTCTCAAGTAATATTAGATATATAGAATAGAAATGAATACTTCTATATGTACTTAAGAAGTTCTTATTACTTAAGGAAAATTGTTAACCTTTGGGTTACCTTCTTCAGAAATAGTAGGTACATATGATGAAAATTAAAACATCTATTCTTTCTAAAATAACAAAAAAGCTTAACTTTAAGCTTTATATTTTACCAACAAATACATAATTTTATTTCTTCTTAGAAAATTTCAACAAAGTTCCTCTGTTGACCGGATTCAACAACGGCGAAGGAATCATGTTTTTCATGTACATAAACTTCAACCCTGATTTACTTGAAGAATTTGAAGCTGATTTCCAACAATTTATACCACACGACTTAAACATTGAGTTACATACAACAGAAGCCCAAAATCATTCTGATCAAATGAGAGACTTTTACTTCCAAAACAAAACTGTTCCAGAAGATCTCCACGGTTTTGTAGATATTATGGGTGATAACTGGATTTTAAGAGGTGTAGATAAACATGTTAAGTTGACTTTGGAAAATTCTACTGAACCAGTTTATTATTTTGAATATTATTTTGCTGTTGCTCCACCGACTTATGGAATTTATGGTGATTTTAATCAAACTAGAGCCGCTCATGGTGACGAGTTGGCAAATTTTTTGAGTGGAACTTGGATGGATTTGGCGACTGATATTCCAAGTGTCGTTTTGAATCAACAAAGAGTTTTGGAAATGTGGACCAACTTTATTAAATTTGGGTAAGTAAATAAAACATTTTATTATACTAACGGAAACATTGAACAGAAGTTACCAAATTGGTATCACGTTGAGGTCACCATTTTCGCAAATTTATTTTAGCAATAACAATTTGTTGGTTTACTCATTTGGCTGTCTAGATTTACACAATTACCAAACTTTCTTATAAGTTTTATTCAATTTTGGTTTATTTTTTAGTGATCCAACTCCCGAAGTTACGGATATTTTACCAGTAAAATGGTTACCAGCCACAAGTGAATCTTTGAACTATTTGTCGATAAATGAAACATTTTCTATGGGTGTTTATCCTGAACAAGAACGAATGGAATTTTGGGAAAATGTTGAGGCACAAATAGAATCTGGGGATCTATAATATAAAAACTTTGTATTATTTGAAACCGAAATTTTATTGAATACCTCACCCAAATTTTTTTCTTGGTTTGTATAAATAAGTCAAAAATATTTCTGACTCAGATATGTATTAATTTTTAACAAATTTCTAACTTAAAACTTACTGCATGTAACTTAAAATTAAATTAATTTTAATAATACTATTATCATGTAACTAGCAAAAAATTTAATACATTAAATTTTATGGATATATACATACCATTCCCAGCATATATAATTACCGAATATTACATTAAAAATATTACACTTTTTATCTAATATAATTACTATGTATTTGATAAGGAAAACTCAATCTAGAGAATTGTTTTTGCTGTTGTATTTGATATTGATATGTCAAATGAACAACAGTAATTCACAGTGTAAATAATTTTATTTGATATAAATGTATTTAATTTTTATTTTAATCTAATTTTAATTTAAATATATATAGTTTTATTTATAAAAAAATATTTTTTTTATGATCGAAAAGAAATTTTTATTTATGTTTATGAGTGTGTGTTTTGGCTATGATTTACATTATTTTTGAGCTAGTATAAAATTAAACCATATTATATTTTGGATATATAATAACATTTTATAATGTGTGATCCATTACTAAAAACAACAACATATGGAATTCTGAAAGGCAAGAAAGTTGTAAACGAAAATGGTAAAATTTACTATAGTTACACAGGTATACCCTATGCAAAATCTCCTGTAAATGATCTCAGATTCAAGGTATAATAAATTTTAACAAAAGTATTATGTTGGTATTATAATAAAATTAATATTAATATATTTTAGCCACCACAAAAACTTGATCCTTGGAATGGTGTTTTTGACGCCACTCAGTATGGAAATAATTGTGCTGCTGGGAAATGGTTTTTGAAATCAGCTGGGGGTAATAATTAGTAAAAAATTAAAATAGAAACAAAGTATGTATGTATGTTTATGAATTATTACTGTTTTTTACCAGGTTGCGAAGATTGCCTTTACTTAAATATCTATGTCCCACAAAACACTTCAGAAAATCCTTTGCCAGTAATGTTTTGGATTCATGGAGGAGCATTTGTGGTCGGATCAGGAAATTCTGATATACATGGTCCTGATTATTTAATAGAATATGATATTATCTTAGTAACTATTAATTATCGTCTAGGACCACTTGGTTTTCTTAATTTGGAAATCGAAGATGCGCCTGGGAATGTTGGATTGATGGATCAAGTAAGAATAGAATTGTAATAAAAAGTTGTTTTTGGTACTTTTCGAAGACCAGTTATTATCTATCATCAGAGAAAATGAATGATATTTTATCCTCTAGAATTATTTGATCGTATACAAAATATCAATGTCAATTATTTTTTTGAAGGTTGCAGCCCTAAAATGGGTAAATGAAAATATTGCAACCTTTAGTGGAGACCCAAAAAATATTACAATTTGTGGAGCAACTGCTGGAGCTGCAAGTGTACATTATCACATTTTGTCACAACTTACCAAAGGTTTATTCCACAAGGCTATAGCACAAAGTGGAAGTGCTTTTAATCCCTGGGCTTTCCAAAAAAATCCTGTTAAGGTATATAAAAAATTAGTCCTATTGTCAACTATTATTGAATGGTATTACTTTCAGTTTCAATAATTTCTACTTTTCAGAATGCACTTCGACTATGCAAAACCTTAGGCCTTACCACAAACAACCCTCAAGAAGCCTTGGATTTTTTGAAAAACCTACCAGTAGAAACATTGTTAAATACCAAATTACCCCAAGAAATTGATGGTCAACTGCTGGATGACTTCGTGTTTGTACCTTCGATTGAAAAAACATTTCCAGAACAAGATTCGTACTTAACTGACTTGCCAATATCAATAATAAATTCAGGAAAATTCCACAAAGTTCCATTGTTGACAGGTTACAACAGTGCCGAAGGCAATCTATTTTTCATGTACTTAAAAACAGATCCAGATTTATTAAATAAATTTGAAGCTGATTTTGAAAGATTTATACCAACTGACTTAGAATTACCTTTGCGATCACAAAAATCTATTGCACTGGGTGAAGCAATCAGGGAATTTTATTTCCAAAACAAAACCATATCAGAAAATATGCAGAATTTTGTAGATGTTTTAAGTGATAATTGGTTTACACGTGGAATTGATGAGCAAGTAAAGTTAACTGTTAAAAATCAGGAAGAACCAGTTTTTTATTATGTTTATAATTTTGATGAAAATTCTCCAAGTCGGAAAGTTTTTGGTGATTTTGGAATAAAAGGCGGTGGTCATGCTGATGAATTGGGTAATATATTTAAAGCCAAAAGTGCAAATTTTGGGAAGGAAACACCAAATGCTGTGTTGGTTCAGAGAAGGATGCTGGAGATGTGGACTAATTTTACCAAATTTGGGTATGTAAAATGATATGATATTTATATTATATTAGAAATTACCAATAGTTTCACAAATGCCACATGAGCAATAAATCAAATACTTTAGGAAATAACTTTAATCATTTCTTAAATGACGATGCATTTAGATTTTGAAATAAAATAATTTAATATCATTATTATATCCCTAATAGCATACAATAAGTATGCATATGAAAATTTAATTTTTCACATTTATTTATTTCAAGTTTTTATTTAGTTTGAAATATTTATTCACAATGTAGTCATAAAATAAAATCTCATAATATTTTTTTCCATATTTGGTCTTGTTTACAAGAGAGAAGGTAAATACTCGAGAATTTATTTTTACAAACTATTTTTTTAATTTATAAATATATTGCACTTAATGGTTTCAGAGCTGATTTATTACTTTATATTAACATTTCTATGAAATTACGAGAAAACTAAGAAATACTAATTAATTTCTATAATTTTAGAAATCCTACACCTACTATTACGGATACACTTCCAATAAAATGGGAACCTGCATCCAAAGAAAAAATGAATTTTCTTCTAATTGACACCGATTTAAATCTGAGTACTGACCCACTAAAAAGTCGTATGCAATTTTGGAAAAAAATAAAATAATTAAATTACTTATACCAACAATAATTTACATAACAATAGTATAGGAATATTAATAATCATTCACAATTCTTTGTTGCCTTTTTAGTAAATTTAATTCCTTACAAAACCAACGTCTACTAATAAAAAAGTATTTGTTTGGAATTTGAATTTTTTGAAAATTTAATCATATCTAAATGTTTGATTGACTTGTAAATTAATTATAATATTATGTAAAGTGTAATTTTATAATTATTACATTTTTTTAATATTGGTTTATTTATTGCTAAAATTATTTATATTAACTAATTCAATAATAATGAATATATGCATTTTGTGGTCTAATATTTTTATTTTTGTTATAGAAAAATCACAAAAAATTACATTGAACTTTGTGAACTCCAATAATCAAATTTCACGAATAATCACTTTTTTATATTTCTATCACAATTTGATCATCTCTTAAGTATTTCAGTTGGTGCCAAAATAACGTCTAAAACATGTTCAATAAATTTGTTGCAATTTTGCTTTTTGTAAGTAATGTTTGTTATATAAAATGTGATTCACCGACAATAATACTGCCACAAGGAGAATTAGTTGGTCAAGTTTTGATCAATGTCAATGGAAAGGAATATTATAGTTTTACGGGTATCCCTTATGCTAAACCTCCTTTAGGAGAACTTAGATTTAGGGTAAGTCATTTTTTACTTTATGTTATTTATATAAATGTTTTATTATGATGTAAAATTATTTTTACAATTTTATTAGCCACCACAAAAGGCAGTACCATGGGAAGGCATTTTGGATGCCACTTTACCAGGAAATATGTGTTTGCCTTTTAATGTGTCAGTATTTCGTAATGAAATTGGAGGTAATTTCATATATATACACATTTTTAATTTATTTCTTTGATTTATATTTGTATTTTGCAGCGAATACAAATATAACCACTGCTTGATATCAAGCTGTCCGGCATTGAACTTGAAACTCTGTGGTTGCAAGACGGATTCTCTTACCATAGATCCACGAACAATATAAATTTACATTTGACTATTTTTATTACAACACTAGTATATTGATCACATTCCCAACTGTATTGATTTTTATTAACTTCCCGTAGGGTAAGTTATAGTAATCGCAAAAAAATCGAAAATGAAAATTTTTGCATTTCTCGACGTTTCAAAACCTTCTGAACATTTTGGCATACCTTAGAAAAAATGGATGTATGTGTGTGTGTGTGTGTGTGTGTGTGTGTGTATGTATGTATGTATGTATGTATGTGTGTGTATGTATGTGCGGATACAAATTTTCGTCGACGATTTTGGGAACACGGATCAACCGATTTGAATAATTCAAAAAACATTCGATTCGTATTGATAAGGAGACGTGCTGATTAGTTTTTGGCAAAGGCAGGTCTAGCCGTTCCGAAGATACGGGGCAAAAAGTGCCAAGAACGGTACCTCCGTTTTTAAGAGAACGGAGCGTCCGATTTGAATAATTCAAAAAACATTTTACTTGTATTGACAAGATGTAGCATTGATCAAATTTTCATGGAGGCAGGTCTAGCGGTTTCGGAGATCTAATGAAAAAAGTAAAAAATAATGCCATTCGGCGGTTAAAAATTATCATTAGACATATGCACATCAAATTATCAGATATTTTATAGAGATTTTAACAATAAGTATATTTTTTTTTTACATTTTTATGGGTTCCGTACCAATGCTTATGCGTTAGACGGCGGCGCGGCACATGCGCGCTTTGACATTTCGTCTCTATGCAGTTCAAGCAGTGCGATTGCTTTGAAAAAAAGTTCAGAATTTCCAAAATATGTCAAAATGAAGAAAACATTTTTTTCAAAAAAATTTTTTGTATCCAAAAAAAAATTTTTTTTTCAAAAAAAAATTTTTTTTTCATATAAATTTTTTTTTTCAAAAAAAAGTAATTTTTTGTCAAATTTATAGTTTCTCAGAAATCTTATTTTTTTTTAATTAATTTTTTTTCAAAAATGTTAATCGTTTTTAAAAAAATAATAATTTTTGGTACGGGAAGTTCCAGCAATTTGCCTTAAGGCACGATGCCCTAATTGCCTTAAGACAGAATTCCACTTACAGCTAGTTATTACATTTATTATATACTAGCTGACCCGGCAAACGTTGTTTTGCTAAATAAGGTATATTCTAGACAATTTCTAGAGAATCAAAAATATTAATACCTTAAGTGTATAAGGATGTGTTGTTTGAATGCTATATACAATGAAGTATTATAAAAACAATAAACCCCATTGGTTCCGGATAATCCGAAGTCCGGATAATCCGAAGTCCGGATAATCCGAAGTCCGGATAATCCGAAGTCCGGATAATCCGAAGTCCGGATAATCCGAAGTCCGGATAATCCGAAGTCCGGATAATCCGAAGTCCGGATAATCCGAAGTCAGGATAATCCGAAGTCCGGATAATCCGAAGTCCGGATAATCCAAATTCCGGATAATCCGAATTCCGGATAATCCGAATTCCGGATAATCCGAATTCCGGATGATCGGAATTCCGGATAATCGGAATTCCGGATAATCGGAATTCCGGAAAATCCGAATTCCGGATAATCGGAATTCCGGATAATCCGAATTCCGGATAATCCGAATTCCGGATAATCCGAATTCCGGATAATCCGAATTCCGGATAATCGAAATTCCGGATAATCGGAATTCCGGATAATCGGAATTTCGGATAATCGGAATTCCGGATAATCGGAATTCCGGATAATCCGAATTCCGGATAATCCGAATTCCGGATAATCCGAATTCCGGATAATCTATTCTGCGATAAATTCTGGAAAATTATAACTGGAAAAATGTTATTCGACAAAAGGTCCATTTGATCGATACCAAATTTAGGTTCTGAATTTAAATAACATAAATAAAAAATAATATAACAACCTAGAAAATGTTTTATAAATACCAATGAGCATATAATTATACAAATAAGATCTTTCAGAGCACCGTGTTTGAGAAAAATATGCCAAAAATGCATTTTCATATTAACATATCGAAAAAGTTTATATTTTGAGTCTCTAGTAACACTTGGGGCCCGTTTACTAACGTTTTTGTATATAAATAAAACTACAAACAAAACTACTTACTACAAATTTATCACAAATAAATAATATTCGCGTAAAACATCCTATTAAACGTAATTGAACATCATCTGTCAAAAGCGTTTGACATTTCACGAAATTGCCACCGTCCATTGTTCTATTTAAATTACGCTTCTACAAAAATTTTCAAATTATAAATGTAAAGTTTCTACACGGATTTGAAATAATTTCTCACCTTTTGGACATTCTCTGGATTGGCACGAATTTTTCAAGACTAAGACTGGCCAAATCGATTCAGCCGTTTTCGAGTTTTATTCGGACATTTGAAAGAGAGCTCCATTTTTATATATAAGATTATTATTTATTTCAGCGTGTGCAGTCATCACCATTTTCATACCAAGGCGCAATCCACATCTACTTACTTCTACAAATTAAGAGGTGGGTCACATACATCATTATATACATATTTGTATTATTTATATAGATAGACCAATATACTCGTATCTAATATGAAAAAAATATAGACAATTATTTAATTATACGTTTCGACACTTGATATGTGCCACTATTCAGCTAAAATAATATAAAACAAGAATAAATTGAGTAACAAAAAATAGCATAAACAAATGGAAGGGACTCAAATTATAGAAATCGTAGAAACACAACCTTATAAAGAGATTTTTTGTTTTTAAATAAAAAAACTGACATTGAAGATATAGCTGAATGAAATAATTTATTCTTAAACGTATAAATGATTAATTAAATTAATAATTGTTTAAGAATATTAATTTCTTTTTTCAGTTCGAAGTATTGGTCGTCTATTCAATACAAATTTGTTTTATCGTTGAAAAAACTATATATTCAGTTTTTTTATATTTGATATATATATAATAAATTGTTTTTTTTAAATAAAAGAAGTTACAACTATCACATTCATCAATTAATTCAAACTTCATCAAATTCATCAAAATTTTGACGAATCTGAAATTAGAACATATGTGATTCTTGTAAGAATTGAATATCTCGAATATTCTTTTGAAATGTTCTTAACACGTTAATCGCCACGAATATTTCAGAAATATTTCTTTGTGGGTTTTGGTCACTTTATTAGATAAATTAGTTAAAAATGTATCAAAGAAACAGAATGTATCGAAGAAAATTTGTTTTTACCAAAATTCCTGGAAAAAATTATTTGTTATGTCGCACATATTTGACTGACTTGTCCAAAACTGAAATCGTGTATGTCTGACATAACTCATGTAGAACTTTTTAGCGTCAGACGCATATGACTGACATGGCGAATAACGTGTTAAAATTAAATATATGATATTAAGCACAAAAATACAGGTCCAATACGATCCAAATAACTCAGTAAATAGTATTTTCTTAGATTAGAATATATACATACAGTATTTCCAAAATTTATAAACAATATTTATCTAAACAATTTTTTATCATGTATTGTTTAAAATTAAATGTGATTGACGAGGCGATGATTTGAAATTGTCTGCCGATAGTATTAGTTGATAAAAGTCTATTATATTATTTAAGATACTTTTGTGACATGTAAATTGTGATATTTAGGCTGGATATAAAATTTTATTTTGTACATATCAATATGATTTTATCAGACTTTTCATTTTATGCATATATTCAATGTTTTGTTAATAAAAATATCTGAAAGGTAAAATGTTTGTTTCACTAATCATTTTATATTAGACGATTTCAAAAATTTAAAAGCCAGTCGATGTGGAAAAAGAACTTGACTTTTAGCAGAAAAGTACTAAATCATTTGTTTATGTTTTTGCAAAAAATCTTGATTCGATTTGGAAAATTCAAGAACTGTTTGAAACATATCATTGGATTATCGTTTGGTAAAGATCTACATGGCCAAATTATTATTTGTTGAATTTTTTCTGGCGATTTTGATGAAACTTTATATAACGATAGATTTTGTAGTCTGAAATTTCATGCAAAAATATTATAGGCCTACGAACGATAAGCGGTTAAATTATAAATAATCGTCAAAGTTTAGATTAAAGGATTCTAATCAGAATCTATAAATCTAAAACACAAATTGGATATCGTATTGATTATTTTTTAATTAAAACAAAGATTATAATTTCGAAAAGAACAGTTGAACATTTTACCCAAATAGCTGAAAATTAATTTTTGTTGATTAAAATTATTATCGGAATTATTATCTGGCCTTAAGGCAAAATGCTGCAGTTTAATAATTTTTATTTTGATTTTCTTAAATAAATAATTATGGACTTTATATAATGAAGTAACCTGCACATGGACAAATAAAAATTATTTGAAAGTAAAAATTCCACATTGAAAAATATTATTTCCTAAAATCTCAATATATAATCTGAGGCACTTAAATTAATAACGATACTATAATTACTATTATTACCCTATAATACTAATTACCTATAATTAATATTATTATTATTTGTTACAATTTTGAATATAACCGCCATTTTGAAAAAAACGATTTTTTTTGGGATGGTAATGCTGTTTTCCTCTTCATGTTAAATCGTCTTTGCGAAATGTCGTTCTGTAAACAATCATGGACGTTACAAGTGGTATGTGTCAATTTTGTTATAAAAACGTGCTTAAAATGAGTGTTAGTGATGGTTTTAGTGCATTATACATGGGCATCGACATAATTAACACAATATGCAGGTATTATAACATTTTATTTAAGTTGAATACGGCATATATTTGCAGAATCATGTTTTTACAATTTTGCACAATATATTAGGTTTGTACTGATGGCGAGGATGTTGGCGGAGGGTGAGTCATTTTAAATTTCTTTCTATAGATATAAACGGAGTTGATATCAAGGATTTAGTATTATGTGCAATTTATGTTGCATAAATTTGCATTATATTTGCCAAAACATGTCATTTTATAAAGTGAATATATATTTTGACAGGACTCGTCTCAAAATTTGACATTTCAAGGATCGTGTCACGTGATTGTAATAGATAAACTTAAATAAATAGATTTCTTTAGTTTATTTGATATGATGCTTGGTTTCATGGAGTAAATTGAACGAAGCAATTTGTGTAATTTAAATTTTTACCAAAATGACTAAATTTGTATAACGTCCAAGATATTCAAACAAAACGTTTGTCGGCAGGAAAGTTTAGTTGACATTTTATGTCAAATATTGAAATATCTTTTGTCGCATCGACAAATCTTTTCAGATATTTTCTTCTCTTAGACTATATTAGAATATAATATATTTAAATAAACGTTTTTCTTTCTTGATATTTACGTTCAGAGAGCTAGGAAAAACGGTTCTACTTTCCGACGCGATGGCGCTGTTATCGCCATTCAAATTAATGGCGCCGAATTTGAAATGAAAATTAATGATTTGTAATATTCTAAATTTTGCATTATAATCGTATTATGTTTAGTATATACATTTTCTTTAGTTTGAGCACGGAATATTTATTGGATTTAAATTTACATTTATTAGATTTAAATAGATTCACAGGATTTAACAATATTAAATTGAAGTCCACAATGAGTGTGTTGTGTGTTCACAATTCTTAAAGATAACAAACCATAATCGAAATACAAAACAATGAAGAATTGCTTGAATAATTCATTGTCTTGATTTTTATGAGGCTTGATGATTATATCTTCATTTAGAGCATCTTCAAAAAATGAAGTCCTGTATATCCATTGATTCACAGACTTTCCTAAAAAATTTGAATCAAACTGAAAATCAAAAATTTTGATCGAAAATGAAATCGTGTATTAGAACCTTATTGAAGCATTGACATGCTTATGAAATCTTTGAAGCAAAACTAATAAAAGCTTAGAAGTGAAACAGAGTTGTAAAAAATCTAAATCTATAAATTTGGTTATTTTGCATTCAGTTGTAATGTTTAATATCAATACCATGACACTTTTTTGCCAATTGTAAAATTCGATAGCTTTTTCTTTTCTGATATATTTCAATTCTTCAATTACATTTTGATTGAAATGCTGTTTTATAAAAAACAAAGATTTTAAAACTTGCTCGAAGAATTTAATCACGAAAAAATATCATGTTACTAAACTAAGTTCAACCTTGGTTAATTGTAAATTTGTATTTACTCCCAATTTGATAAATTTTAATCTTCTTACATATTTAAAAGTTTGTATGTTTAAATTGAAACAGATAATTTATATAACATTTTATTCAATATCTTTATAAAATGTAAATTTTACGTCTAACAATTTTTTTTATTCCACTACATTATTGCCTTAGGGTATACAAAACATATATTATTAAATGCTATCTTTTTTGCTAATCTGTCTATATGTATATATTAAACTTAATAATATGAGACGAATAATAATATTTTATTTTAGCAATAATATAATTAATAAATAATTATAAGTAGGAACCCTTAAGAATCTTAACTTATTGTTATTAGAAATCAGTACGTATATTCAGACGTTGTTCCCACAAAATTTTCAAACATTGTCACTCATTGCAATGTATAGTTAGATAGAAAGAGAATTAAATACAAAATTATAGTAATCCATTGCTTATTATATAGTGACCGTTAATTAATGACTCTGGAATCATATAAGAATAAGAAAATACTTCATAACAAATTATTTATAAAAATTATTCATTAAACTTTATATCCATTTCATTTCAGACTTTGGTTTCACAAAACACAATTTAAATTAAAAACTACCAATTATCATCATTCATGCACAAAGTCATTCACAACATCAAAATTCAGTTCAATTTAATGTTCAGCAACAGCATTTCCATTTTCTTCCTTGTTTTCTTGCACGGCTCTCTTATTATTCAGGAAACTAAGATATTGGGTTAATCTTAAAACAGCTATTAACGAAGCAACATATTCTTGGACATCTTCCTTGTTCAAATTTTTTAATTGCTCTGCAACATTCCTGTAAACCCTACGAGCAACCTTGTTACTCAAATGACCAACAGTTTGCACAGTATGAAGCACCCTATCAGTTTCCAAAGGTGTTACAGACGATCCATCATCATTTTCAGCTTCTTGCAGGTCTTTCTCGGTTGCTGGGAAGTAGTAATCCAGTAATTTTTCTGCAAGGATTGAGGTCGAATCGATTCCTTCAACAGCCATGTTGCCATACTGAGTAGCCAACACTTCATTCGCCTTGTTCCATGATAGATCTTTTAAGCTCTGGGCTTTTTTGTTGCCCATCTTACGCAAGGTGCAAACTTTGTGAACGTTGTCTTGGACGGTTTTGGTGATGGCTTCTTTCTTCTCCCTGAAAACTTCTCTGGTCTGGTTTAAGATCTCCTGAGGTTGTTCCTTGACGATGGGAACTGAGGCTTCTAACTTGTTGATACCTTTGACGAGGGTCTCATCGACATAGTGGATTGGTTTGTCAATTTTCTGGATGTAAGGGGAAGCTGTTGCCAGGGCCAATTGGACTGTGCTTTCGGCTGTTCCAAATGCCCATGTCAGCATCGGGTTGTAACCTGGAAAATGATAAAAATATATAATATAATGATAATATAAAATATAATAAAGACAGTAATAAATAGTACTTATTAATAAATTTAAAGATTATTGTGAAGTTTGGCTAAAAATCATATTTTCAAATTTTATGTTTTCTTAACGTTTCGTCATTCTGAATCGAATGAGACCAAATTTGGAAAATGTATGTGTGCATGCGTATGTGAGCTGATACTTGATTTTTCGTCGACGTTTTCTCAAAAACGGCTGAACCGATTTCAAAAATTTAAAAGCCATTCGATGTAACTCAATAAGGACCAGCTTTTGTCAGTTTTGTGCGGCGATAGCCAAAGCCATTTCTTTGTAATTGGCAGAAAAATTAAATTTTTCATCCGTGGTACAGCCCACAATTTTGAATCGATTTTAAACATTCAAAAACTTCGAAAATTATTGATTGGGAATCGCATTGATTTTTCAAGTTTTTATTGGAGATCTTCCTACTTCCCGTAGGGCAAAAGTTATGGTAATCGCAAAAAAATTTAAAATGAAATCGTTTGCAAATCTTTACATTTTAAAAGTTAATGAACATTTTGGCATACCTTACAAAAAATGCCATTTGGCGGTCAAAAATTATTAGACATATATACACATCAAATTATTAGATTTTTATAGAGATTTTAGTAATAAGAACAAATTTTGTTTACATTTCTATGGGCTTTGCGCTTCAATATTATGTTTTCACGCAGCTGACGCAAGTTCAGAAAAAAGTTCAAAATTTCCAAAATACTTCAAAAAAAAAAAAAAAAAATACAAAAAAGTCAAAATTTCAGCTACTCAAATTAATTATTTCAATTTAAAAAAATTAATCTTTTTTAAAAATTGTACTTATCGGTACGTGAAGTTACATCAATTCGCCTTAAGGCACGATGCCATGCACTACTAGTTATTTTTTGTTTGATGAAGCTTTGTATAAAAATAGATTTGGTAGTCTGTAATAACATACTAATATATTATAGGCCTACGATAAGCTGTTGAATTATAAAAAAATATGTCTAATTAATATGATAGTATTGTGATAGTATTCTAAAATTGATTTATCCATGAAACTTTGTACATTGCTTCCATGAAAGATAACATTCCCAAAAATATTTATATCAATTCGAGTCCGTTGTACATTCGAAGTGTTTTGTAGATAAAATATATGTACAGATAATATCATGGCATGGAATTTTTGCCGTTATGAAGCCATGTTTGTTTAATGAATTATTTAATTTTTGAGTGGGCTTGAACTGATAATAATGAGCAGATTAAAATGAAAATACATCGCCATTTGTTATGAAGAAATGTGATCAACTGAATAATGATATCACTCATATGACTGACTAGTTCTAAGTGGCATTTCGCCATAAGGAAAGTTGCACGAACTTTCTTGTGTGTATACAATGAACTTAATCAGTAGAATTGATATTCAGCTATTTAGGCAAAATTCTCAACTGATCATTTTGGAAATAATTTTCAAGCAATTTTATAATACAATACAATTCTAGTATTACTTAATTACATGTATTGTATGTCTTAAAATCATGGTTCATCATTACAGACTTAGATTTTTATAGATCAACCACTATTTGTAGGCCCAAAATATTTTGGTATATTCTTTAAGACGTGAACTAACTTATTATAAAACGTTTCATTTAAATATATTTTTTCAATAATTACGAAAAAACGGTCCAGTCGATCTTTACCAAAAATAGTTAGCACGATTCTTAACTGATATTTTGAACGGTTTATAAATTTTCAAAATCCGTTCAGATATTTTGAACCGATTGATATTTTGAACGGTTTATAAATTTTCAAAATCCATTCAGGATTTTTGGCTAAAACTTGGATACTTTTTTTTCACTATTTTGCTATATAAAGAAACGGTTTGGCTGATCGTCTCACGAAAGTTTCAACTAATGGGTTTTGACTAATTGAAGTCATTGTTAAAGAAAAAGGTTAAATTTCGGTTTACATATAATATAATACACCTACTTTTTCTAAATTTGGTCTCAAATGACTAAGGATGACTTGAGAAAACAGTAAGTTATCAAGTTTCTGAAGAAAACTAAAGAGTTTGTATATTTCTTATTTATCATATCCACATATATGTTTATTTGCACTATGATGATTTGGGTCATATGAGTGATGTATGTCTCTTGTTGACTTGGAAACAGTATTTTGTTATTATTTATCTTGTAATTTACAAATTGCGTATTCGAATTCAAGAATTTGCTTCGATTTATCGGTTATCAACCTGCCGAGATGTGGCGTGACATGCGGATAAGATAGAGAAATTTAAAAGCACCTACGAAATATAATTAATTGCACTTGAGATAATATTTATATGGAATGACATGGCGTTAATAATATTTATTAATTTTTGATATCCACGACTGGAACATCAGTGGGTAAATTAAATGCCAATGCATGATTGGATTGTCCAGGTATAATATGGCATTATTAATTTAAAAAAAAAATATTTCCTTACCTTTAACTTTATCATAAACGCCCTGAGATTGGGCCCAGGCCGCTTCTACCACAGGCAGTTTCATCATGCGTTCCAAAGACTCCAAATGGGGCAGCAAAGAAGGGTTGCTTTTGGCCCCTTCGACTTTTTTCTGTGACAAGGCGCATTGGTTGGTGTCTGGTACTTTATCGGCCATTTTTCTGAATAGGAAAAAAATGATTAAAATTGAAATATATTCCCACATTCTGAGAGCAATAAAACAATAAATTTTACTAACAAGAAGAGCGATTGTAAAGTTTATCTTTGGTGAGTCTAAATATTTGTACAAAATTGTCTCATTTTTTTTTTTTTTAATTTTTTGTATATCGAAAATAATTCAGATTTTATTTTTAATCCCGACTATAGTTCTAATATACTTTAAACAAATAATTTCAACTCTGCAATTCAGTTCATATAATTCTTATAAATATTAGACAATGTTACAATATTTATAATAATCTATTTGAAAACATTCAGTATTCCTCGAACATTTTGTTACGGTACGGGAAGTTCCAGCAATTTGCCTTAAGGCACGATGCCACCCACCCCACTAGTTTTCTATCTATTCTCAGGTGATGAGGATTGCCTTATCATAAACATAAAAACTCCACAAATTTCAAACAAACAAAAATTTCCTGTTTTATTCTGGATTCATGGTGGAGGTTTCGTAAGCGGTTCTGGAAACTTAGATTATCATGGACCAGATTATTTTATAGATTATGATATCATTTTGGTCACATTCAATTATCGCCTGGGACCTCTTGGTTTCCTAAATTTGGAATTGCAAGAAGCTCCAGGAAATGTTGGTCTGATGGATCAGGTGAGAATTGAAATTATTTTTGTCATCCTAAAAGATGGCATATTTGTTCACACAAACTATTGTAGGTGGAGGCGTTACGATGGACAAAAGAAAATATAGCAAAATTTGGAGGTGATCCTGATAATATTACAATTGGAGGCGTTTCTGCAGGGAGTGCAAGTGTCCATTACCATCTACTGTCTCATAGTGCAAGAGGTCTTTTCCAAAAGGCAATTATGCATAGTGGAAGTGCTTTTCACCCTTGGGCTTTCCAAAAACACCACATTAAGGTAAAACATAATAGAACTTAAAAAAGCTAATGTGAAAGTAGCCAGACTAAAAAAAGGAATGCCAGAGTTTTTGGTTATTACATCTTTTACCTTTTTTCAGCGTGCTTTCCAACTATGTGAAGCCTTAGGTCATTCCACCAACAATACTAAAGACGCACTTGACTTTTTATTAAAACTACCTGCAGACAAATTATTAGCAAAAATGCCCCCAGAAGTTGAAGGCGAACTGATCCAGGATTTTATTTTTGTTCCATCAATCGAAAAAGTATTTCCAAATCAAAAACCATTCTTAGAAGAATCACCATTCACCAGAATGGTATCCGGAAACTATCACAAAGTACCACAAATAGTTGGATTCAACAGTGGCGAAGGGATTTTTTTCAACTTCTTCCTGCAGGAAAATCCTGATATACTAAACCAATTCGAAGCAGACTTCCAAAAATTCATACCAACTGATCTGGACCTGTCTCATGGATCTGAAGACTCTAAATCTCTTGCAGAAAAAATTAGGAAATTTTATTTTGATGATAAACCTGTTGCAGAAAACGTGCAGAAATTAGTAGATGCAATCAGTGACAATTGGGTAACCAGAGGTGTAAATGAACAAGTTAAATTGACAGTGGAAAAACAAACTGAACCGGTTTATTTTTATGAGTATTCATTTTCGGAAAGTCATCCTGCCAAAGAAATGTTTGGTGATCATAATCTGACTGGTGTTTGTCATGGTGAGGAATTAGTTAATTTATTTAAACTGAAAGTGATGTCTCTGGATGAAGATAAGCCAAATGTTTTGTTAACTCAGAAAAGGATGCTGGAAATGTGGACAAATTTTATTAAAACAGGGTAAGTTATATTTTAAACTCAATATAGTAAAATATACAAATAAAAAAAACGAACGATATGAAACTTTTTTCGAACACTTTAAAGTTTTTTGATGGTATTGTTTGATTTTTCAGCCAAATTTAAGTTAGATTAGATTAGATGTATTAGATGCATTAGATATACAATTCACTATGTTCAAAAATAACAAAACAATCAATATATAAAATACAAATGAAGGAATACTATAATAATTTTGTGTCTTGATTTTATGAAACTTGATATTAAGTCTTCGTTTAGAGCATCTTCAAAAGTTAAGGTCCTGTATATCCATTGATTCGCAAAATTTTTAAAAAGTTTAGAAGCTTTTCTGAAAAAAAGAGCAGTATCAGAGACGAATATGTTTTCGTAAATTTTGATCAAAATAGTTAATTAACGAGTTTTGCTTTACAATTTTGATAAGAATCCTTGAACACTTAATTTTTCTCGAAATTACTATTTTCTACAAAATGATCATTTTATTGCTGGAAACTGATGAAAAACTATTTTAAGCAAGTGTTTAAAAATTACTATTAAATTTTTATAGACATTAGTTTTCTAGGTTTTATAATATGTATCTACTAAATAATTTCAAAATAAGAAAATCTCAAATAATATTTCAGGAATCCAACACCAGAAATCACAGATGTACTTTCTGTTAAATGGGAGCCTGCCACAAGAGATAAATTGAATTATTTAAATATTGATTCAAATTTGACTTTAGGCACAAATCCAGAAAAAAATCGTGTTAAATTTTGGGAGGATGCTACTAAACAGCACAGTCAAGTGCGAGTCGAACTCGTACATTAAAGTAATCAGTAACTATAATAAATAGTTCGAATGAAATTGTACTATAAGGTTTGTTTTAAGTCGTATATGGTTATATGGTGTACTAAAAGTTTATTTCATTATACATAATGTTTGTAGGAAAAACTGTTTAGCAGACAACTTATTTATGGATAATGATAAAGTACTTGCTAAAAAAGAAAACAAATATTTGTATACTACGTGATTACACTTGCGATTTATTGTGATCAATAAGAACAAATATTTTAAAGTATGAAATCATAAGTCCTAATTCATATATGCATTTTAAAGTAGGTAAAACGATATTATTTTATGATCTTATCTATAACATTTTTTCATCAGCACTAATATTTTTTAGTCCTGCCATTAATTTCAAAAAACCACTATTTAATTAAATTGTATATAATTGAAATAGAAGTATAATATAAATAAGTTGTATTCCTGGTAGATTAAAAATAAATTTAAAAAATTTAAAAAGCTGAAATAAATATGAATTTTAATTGTGCATTGCAAAATCTTCAAATTAAAGAATTACTACTTACATTCGGTTTTTGATTCAAAATAAAAAAAGCACATTATGAGAGATAGAATAATATTACATTTAATAATGTATTTCATAACTAACTATTATCTAATCTTAAAAGCAGTCGTGTGTGTGAATAATTTTTGAATATTTATATAAAGTGTTATCAGTCAATGTTTACTAACATAAAACAAATATTTTCCGTGTTTGCGTTTGGTTTGCTTGCTAAATAACAACAAATGGAAAAAAATTATCAATAAATGAATATCTTTCACTTTTTATTTAAAATATAAGATTTATTAATTTTAGATAAATATAAATAATTTTAGATAGATATATAATTATAGAGTGAAGAGTACGTAACCACGAGACTACGAGTTTGAATCTAGCGTTGGGTGCAGCTTGATATCAAACAGTAGTAATATCCATTTTGAGATAAACAATTGAAATTAGGAAAATGTCGCATGTACTAAAATGTACTAACTAATCAGCACGTTTCCTTATCAATACTAATCTAATGTTTTTTGAATTATTCAAATCGGTTGATCCGTGCTCTTGAAATCGTCGACGACAATTTGTATCCGCACACACACACATACATCCATTTTTTCTAAGGTATGCCAAAATGTTCAGAAACCTTTGAAACGTAAAGATATAAGAAAATTTTCATTTTCGATTTTGTGCGATTACTATAACTTCTAAGTACTCTTATGCGAGTATCATACACCTAAAACTATTCCAATTAAAAAAACATAAGGATATTATTCATCTGCCCATATCAAAGATGAATGTTCTTACACAATGCTACTACAAATAATCACTAGAAAAAATATTCCAGTTGTACATTGTGAGCAAACAAAAAAAAGCATAATTGAACTTGATGATCCGTCTTAATCTGATAAACTGTTCCACACATTGACATAATAACCTCGCACATTATATAATGGATGTCTTCTAATATTTCGTGTGCACTGTGTGCTAATAATTCAGTACACATAGTCAATAGTCTAGATCCAAGATGTCTCGTGTTATTTTTTTAAGTTGTATTTTTTTGTTTAGTTTTAATTTTATAAAATGTGATTCCCCGACTGTAACTTTGCCCCAAGGCGAATTGGTTGGAAAAGCTTTGACGAACGAAAATGGAAAAGAGTATTTTAGCTACACAGGTGTACCTTATGCTAAACCTCCTGTTGGAGAACTTAGATTTAAGGTAATAATTGAATTTGTAATTTTTAAAGATATCATGTCATACTCAAATCTGTAGTCAGAATACATATTTTTATTTTGTGTCTTTGAACAGTATTTTTTCCTTTCAAAATTAGATGCCAATCATTGTAACTCGATAAAGATTTGCTTTGATTCGTTTTTGCGACGATCGGTAGAGGCATTTTTGTTGACTAATGTTACATTTGTTACTATTTTATATCGAATCCATCCGGAGTACGATTTATTCTATTTTTGAAATTATATATAATATATTTAATATTGATAATAATATTAATATAATTTCCTGTAATTATAGAAATTTTAAGGAAGATACTCAAATCACTTTGGAAAGTTTTATACTGAATAATTTAAACAATTTTTAGCCAGTTATTTGCAATTAACGACAAGATTAAAAAATATTATATAGTGGTTATGAATAAAAAAAGTTTTAGATTCATAGAAAACGAGTACGATCATTTAGAGTGTAAATATTTTTTTATAATTATTACATTTTTTATGAACAGCCTCCACAGAAAGCTGAGCCATGGCAAGGTGTTTTCAACGCCACATTATACGGAAATGTGTGTAAATCTTTAAATTTCTTCTTGAAGAAAATTGAAGGTAATTTCTAATAATAAATATAATTGATTAGTTTCTTTTTATATTTTTATTGGCCCCGCTTACTTAAAGCATTTGGCCATCTACAACATTTCTTTTTTACATTTTATACTATTTTATATCAAATAGTTTTATGAGTGCCATTTTTACCAAAATTAAAATTAATCGTATTTAATCTAAAATTAACTTGGTTCAAGAGATTCCAAAATAAGTAGCAATGTATATGGAACTATTATGAAGAAAAATGTAATTTAGGTATTATTACTGAAAACAATTAATATATAGTACAAGATTATGGGCAACATTATTGAAGCAATTATTTTGAGTGAAAAAATCCAATGTACCTTTACCACGGATACTATATATTAATCCTATCTGAATTCGTTATACTGTTTAAAAGACTGCAATTTCCAATATGATATAAATCACAAAGGCAGACGATGAATTTCTGACAAAATAATTTTGTTTGTTGTTAAGTGTTGCTGTTTTGTTAATTTTTCTCTTATATTTATAGTTTCTATTGCTGTTTTGTTATTTTTTGTCTTATATTTATAGTTTCTTTACCAATCCACATATATTATAATTACCTAGTTTTACTAATTTTTTATACTGTTTTTAGATCCACTGATGATGACCTTAAATTGAATGTCGAAACGTTTGGAATTAAAGATTAATTTATAAATCTTTGCTTTTTATTTTTTGATGTATCGCCCCACAAGTGCTTACTCATATATATATATATATATATATATATATATATATATATATATATATATATATTAGGATGGTCCTTAATTTGGGCATTTTCGAATTTTCTTGCTCCCAATAGCTCAAATGGTTCCAAATTGATAAAAAACAATTTTCTGAAAGTTTTAGCTCTTAATATTAACTTCTAGATAGTGCGCAATTCAATCAAACTTTGTATGGAAATAACATAAAAAATATGTTTGAAAATTATATTATATTATAAAAAAAAATTTTATGTATAACTTAGCGACAAATGAATTAAAAGTGAGAATTCATTTCTGGCGTGTGAGTCGGGCATGCTACTGACTGAACTATTTCCGCCATAAATTGAAACAATGTATAATTATTTAAAAATATAATTATAAATTATATCATTAATTTTCTTCTCAGGAGACGAAGACTGCTTGGTAGTAAACGTGTACGCACCAAAAACAACTTCTGATAAAAAACTTCCAGTATTTTTCTGGGTTCATGGTGGTGGTTTTGTGACTGGATCCGGAAATTTAGAATTCCAAAGCCCAGATTATTTAGTAGATTTTGATGTTATTTTCGTAACTTTCAATTACCGATTGGGACCTCTCGGATTTCTGAATTTGGAGTTGGAGGGTGCTCCAGGAAATGTAGGATTATTGGATCAGGTAATGTAAGAAAAATTAAAATAAATCCAACAATCATATGAACAAAATTTATAAATATACTGCTTGAAAATTTGTGTATAGTATTGTTGATTTCTGGTTCACCAGGTGGCAGCTCTGAAATGGACCAAAGAAAACATTGAGAAATTTGGTGGAGATCCAGAAAATATTACAATTGGTGGTGTTTCTGCTGGTGGAGCAAGTGTTCATTATCTTTTGTTATCTCATACAACCACTGGACTTTACAAAAGGGCAATTGCTCAAAGTGGAAGTGCTTTTAATCCATGGGCCTTCCAGAGACATCCAGTAAAGGTTAGTAATGAAAAATGATAAACGATTAGATGTACAAAAGAATTTTGTACGCGTATAATTTTATAAATCTGTATTTTTATTTTCATTACAGCGTAGTCTTCAACTTGCTGAGATATTGGGTCATCCCACAAACAATACTCAAGATGCTTTAGAATTCTTACAAAAAGCCCCCGTAGACAGTCTCCTGAAGAAAATGCCAGCTGAAACAGAAGGTGAAATAATAGAAGAGTTTGTCTTCGTACCATCAATTGAAAAAGTTTTCCCATCCCACCAACCTTTCTTGGAAGAATCACCATTGGCCAGAATGAAATCCGGATCCTTTAACAAAGTACCTTTATTAGTTGGATTTAACAGTGCAGAAGGACTTTTGTTCAAATTCTTCATGAAAGAAAAACCAGAGATGCTGAACCAAGCTGAAGCAGATTTTGAAAGACTCGTACCAGCCGAATTTGAATTAGTCCATGGATCAGAGGAATCGAAAAAACTTGCAGAAAAAATCAGGAAGTTTTACTTTGACGATAAACCCGTTCCAGAAAATGAACAGAAATTTATTGACTTGATAGGAGATATTTGGTTTACTAGAGGTGTTGACAAGCATGTCAAGTTGTCTGTGGAGAAACAAGACGAACCAGTTTATTATTATGAATATTCCTTCTCGGAAAGTCATCCTGCAAAAGGAACATTTGGTGATCATAATCTGACTGGTGCATGCCATGGAGAAGAACTTGTGAATTTATTCAAAGTCGAGATGATGAAGCTGGAAAAAGATAAACCTAATGTTCTATTAACAAAAGATAGAGTACTTGCCATGTGGACTAACTTCATCAAAAATGGGTAAGTCAAATTAGCGAAAAAACAAATTTTATAATGATTAGATGTGATTGGATCTCAATAATTTTTTTAAACTAAATTTTAGAAATCCTACTCCTGAAGTAACAGAATTATTGCCAGTTAAATGGGAACCTGCCACAAAAGACAAGTTGAATTATTTGAACATTGATGCCACCTTAACTTTGGGAACAAATCCTGAGGCAAACCGAGTCAAATTTTGGGAAGACGCCACAAAATCTTTGCACGGTCAATAATAATTTATGAAAATTGTTTTAAATACTTTAGGTAATATATTAGGTAAATAAAAATTAAAAAATAACAATTTTTATGTTTTATGTATTGGCTTATGTGTATCAGTTCTAATTTTATTTATTTATTCTTGTTTTGCTTGTTTTGAAATATCATGGTTTTAATTTTCAAAACACAACGTCGTTTGTTTTTAGCAAAATTTCCAATAGATATGTTATATTAAGTACTCTGAAGTATTTTTATATATACACTAAAATCAGTAAAAATACATTAACTAAAAATATAAGATATTTTCAATAATTTTTTTTAAAGAAAATACCAAAAATAAAGTAAAATTCCAAACGGAATTTTTGTTTAACTTAAAAATAAAATTAACTCTTCAATAATTTTGATAATTAGTATTTCTGATATCATTAGTGGAAATTATATTTTGATAATACGTATTTATATTTAAAATAAAATTATATTTAAGTAAAATTCCAAACGAAATTTAAGTTTTACTTAAAAAACGAAACAAATTATACAGTCTACATTATGCTAATATCATTAAAAGCATATGAAAATACATAGAAAAAAAGAAATTTTAAATTTTTCACAGTAATTATGCCATATTTTTAAGTAAATCAATATGTATTTATATTTAAAATAAAACATTTGATAAAAGTACAAATATAAATACATACACCCACACACACAGATACACACACACATATATATATATATATATATATATATATATATATATATATATGTTTACATCAATAAAAATAGTATGAGAGTTTTCAGAAATTTATCTATTTGAAATCAATACGTTTCGGCTAGCATCTTAGCCTTCATACAGTGGCCATCAATTTAACTATAAAAATTAAAACTAAATAAATAATATGTAAGAAATTTTATAGAAAAACAATAACGATATTAATAATAATAAGAAAACACTTACAATTTTGTATCTTAATATAACATATGAAAACATTATTAATCCATAGTTACCATGAACTTTTCAAATGTAAAAGTATATAAATTTGCATTTTCGATTTTTTTGCGATTACTATTATTATCCTACAGGAAGTTAAAAATTAACTTTATAATATAGGATTTTTTTTGATGTAGTAACTTTAAACTTAATGCATCCAGGGAATTTTTTTTTGACAAAATTTCTGGAAAAATAATATTTTCTATGTCACACATATATTATATTACAGACAAACATTTTTGCCAAATCTCGTATGTCAGATCATGTGGATATTTTTGCCTCTGACACATATGAATGACATGGTTACATAAGTCTCATTAATCTGATAGTATATTACAGATTATAGACATAATGATGAGCACCAATTAATGTTTAAGATGATTTGTCTTGAAATTTTAGAGAATAGCAAAAAACTATTCTAGATACCGTTCGTGATACAGACAAAAAACTAGCATTGAACTTGATGATCTGTCTTAATCTGATAAATTTGTTCGACATAATAACATCGGGCAACATTATATAACGTATTACTTCCCAAACATTTGTATCATTGTGTACCGACCATTCAGTAGGTACACATAGTCTATTGAAGCATAACAATATATTTAAAATGATGTATAATTTATTTTTAACCATTTTTATTACTTTAGTTAGTGTTAATTTAATAAATTGTGATCCGACTGTGACTTTGTCTCAGGGTGAATTAGTAGGAAGAGTTTTTACCAATGAAAATGGAGTGGAGTATTATGGTTACTTGGGAATTTCTTATGCGAAACCACCCATAAGAAAATTGAGATTTAGGGTGAGTTTTGAGAAAACAAAATAAATTTATCAAATATAGTTACAAAAATTTCTTTTTTTTAATTGCGTAGTATAGTAAGAAAAGGACGATTCGTTTTTTTTAAATATTTTTTTTAATAATCTTGAGACTTCTTGGTAAAATGGTAAACCGTTGGGTTGTCTTCTCAAGTAATATTAGATATATAGAATAGAAATGAATACTTCTATATGTACTTAAGAAGTTCTTATTACTTAAGGAAAATTGTTAACCTTTGGGTTACCTTCTTCAGAAATAGTAGGTACATATGATGAAAATTAAAACATCTATATAAAATTTAGTAGTTCTTATAGCTGCTAGAACAAATGTGCACCAAAAAAATATGAATGTTGAAAATTTAGAAACCAAAATGTAATATTTCAAAAATTCTTGGTATCAATTTAAAAAAAGTTTTAATAATGCTCATCGTTTTTAACATTAAATTAGCTCAAGATTTATGCTACATTTTTTAAAACTATGTGAGAGCTATTTTTACTAGTAAAGATAATTTGATCTATAATTCCAAGAGTACATGGATATTGCCACAACTTGATATCAGGTATTATTGAGATTTGAACTTGTATACTTGTGGTTTCAAGGTCAAAGTTATTACCTCGTAAAAGTATTTTTAGACAGTAACATTCTATATCATTTGTCCAAAATAGTTAACCATACGCCTACAATAGAAGTCATGCAATTATTTACACAATTTACAGGAAGAACTTGACATCGAGCACAATAGAAAAAAATATTTGGTACAACTAATTGGAACAAATTTGTTCTAATTAGTCACGTTATAGATTCAATTCGGATCATTACATAATAACTTATAAAAAAGAATGACTGTCATTTTTTCTCTTTGCAGCCTCCACAAAAAGCAGAACCATGGGATGGAGTTCTAAATGCTACACAATCTGGAAGTATTTGCAGATCTGTAAATATGCTTGAGAAAAAACTTGATGGTAAGTAATTAATGATTATTTTAAGATAAATTTCATCATTGACTTGAGAGAACCTTCATAGTAGAAAATACATTTACATTTATTTAAGTAAATATTTGAAAAGATACAGTCCAGTCATTCAAGCTTAAATTAGGTAAGAATCTCGGAATTCGAGATACTCAGTTGTAAGTCTATAAATACTTATATATTTACATCCTAAAGTTGTCTCAAAACCTACATATAGTAGAGTGTCAATACCATAAATAGGTTTTGAGACAACTTTAGGGTGTCAATATATAAGTATTTACAGACTTACAGCTGACTATCTCGAAATCCGAGATGAACTTACTATAATGACTGGACTAATAGGCAAATAAAGTAACAAAATTTTTATAATAAAACTATTATTACCTACTATTTTTTCCTTTATATAGGTGATGAAGATTGTCTATTCATCAACATTTTCACACCAAAAACTTCAACATCTGGTGAAAAACTACCGGTATTATTTTGGATCCATGGTGGAGGATTTATTAGAGGATCTGGAAATTATGAGTTCCAAGGACCCGATTATTTGATCGAACATGATATCATAGTAGTCACATTCAACTATCGTCTAGGACCATATGGATTCTTAAATCTAGAGCTAGAAGGTGCTCCTGGAAATGTCGGATTACTGGATCAGGTAATTATATAAACATGCATATGTAAACAAGTAGTCTATAAATCTATTTTTGTAGGTTGAAGCTTTGAAGTGGACAAAAGAAAATATTGACAAATTTGGTGGAGATCCTGATCAAATCACTATTGATGGTGTTTCAGCTGGAGGAGCAAGTGTACATTATCTACTTTTATCACATACTGCAACAGGTCTTTTTCAAAGAGCAATTGCTCAGAGTGGTAGTGCATTGAATCCTTGGGCGTTACAGAAAGATCCTGTTAAGGTACAGTATCTAAAAATGAAATTTATTTTTAATCAAAATAAAAAAACTTCAAAATTTTTAGCGTGCGTTTGAACTTTGCGAAGCTTTGGGTCTTCCCTCAAATAGTACTAATGAAGAAGCCTTAGACTTTTTGCAAACAGCACCAGTAGATAGCCTTCTATCAGTAAAATTACGTTCTGTGGTCGAAGGACAATTGATAGATGACTTTGTGTTTGTACCATCTGTAGAAAAAGTCTTTCCCACCCACCAGCCATTTTTAGAAGAAACTCCATTAACCAGGATGAAATCAGGAAACTTCAACAAAGTCCCGCAAATTGTAGGATTCAACAACGCCGAAGGTAATATGTTCACATTTTTCAAAAAGCAAAAACCAGATATGTTAGAACAATTGGACGCTGATTTCGAAAAAGGCTTGCCTACTGATTTGGACCTAGTTCGTGGATCCGAAACTTCTAAAAAACTTGCAGAAAAAGCTAAAAAATTCTACTTCAACGATCAACCAGTTGCAACAAGTGATCAACAATTTGCACAAATGTTTGGAGATGATTGGTTTACAAGAGGAATTAATGAACAAGTGAAATTAACTGTGGAACACCAAGATGAGCCAGTTTATTACTATGAATATTCGTTTGCGGAAAGTAATCCTATTAGAAAATTGTTTGATGAGAATAGTACTCTTGTAGGTGCTTGTCATGGAGAAGAAATGCCAAACATTTTGAAAATCGATATTATGCCTTTGGAAAAAGACAAACCGAGTGTGGTTTTGACTCAAAACCGTATGCTCGAGTTGTGGACAAATTTCATCAAAACTGGGTTCGTACAATAATAATTATTACTAATAATTAAAATACAGATTTTGATATAAGTATGTTTTACCTTTTTAGTAATCCAACACCCGAAGTGACCGAAATAGTGCCTGTAAAATGGGAGCCTGCCACCAAAGAAAACTTATATTATTTGGACATTGGCACTAATTTGACTTTGGGAACAAATCCTGAAGAGGCTCGTGTCAAATTTTGGGAAAATGCATTAAATGAAATATCACGTGAAGATAAAGAATAAGATATGGTATTGCCGGTATATCAGCAAATTAACAGAAAATTTTATAAAAATACAAAGGGTAACTTATGCATTAAATTTTGTCTCAACTTATAACATAATTCTAAAAACAAATTACATATTTTCGCAATTTGTTGCAGAACTTAGAAACAAAACAAGACAATAATTGTATATCTACAATAAAAAAAATCTATTATATTTTGTTCAATATACAAAATATATATTCAATTAGAGATACTGAAATATCAAATTTCTCAATGAAAATTTCTAAAGGAATAAGTTAAAGAATGAATAAAATAATACAATTTTAAAAACAACACTAATTACTTACTGATCAATTGATTACTGATCAATTTTTTAATAGGCCTTATAATCACATTAGATTATTATTATTATTATTATTATTATTATTATTAATAATAATACTTAGCCCGAAATCATTTTACAAAGTTATATTAATTTTTTAATGCATAGAAAGATTATCTTTTTTAATTCAGAGTAAATTATTGTTTTTATAAAAAATACTTATATGAATGAAGGAATAAAAATATTCATAACCGTTCAAAGTCTCTCGTGTATATTATCGTTTATTTGAATCATATTTGTTTTTATAATTAAAATTATCATCATCAAAATTAATTTTATTACGTAAATTATATTCCAAATCAGATATTAAATACAAACTAATATGCGCAAGATTGCGTAATTGATGAAGACGACATTAGCATAAATCTTGCATGTTTTATTAAAAATAACATTTATTAAGTTAAAAAATATTTATGTTAATTATGTACTGTTTTAGATTTCAGGAATCTAACACCTAAAATGTCTTTACAATGGGTTAATACATTGAAATTAAATTATTTAAATATTGACATTAATTTGGACAACAATCAGAACTTAAAAGTTCCTAATATAAAATGTTGTGATTCTTCTGTTGATTAATTCTTAACTACATACTGTTTTATATGGAAAAGATTGGTCACTCTAATTTCATATACTTTTCTTATTTCTTAACAACAAATTCGTCTACTAATAATAACGTTTGCCATATATAGTATTATATAAATATTAATTTCAAAAGAAACTAGCATTGTGATTTACAGGTCATAATTCAATCAAGTTGACGTTTTGAACTAAATTATTCTGATTGCATATAATTGGAATTTATGTACAGGGGCTACACAAATTCGGATTTTAGTTGTGGAAATAAATTTATGAACTGAGAGATTGAGAAAAATCAATTTCATTTTTATTCAACCTTGGCAGTGTTCTGATGTTCAGATTGAGTGATCTTCGACGATGCTTTTGTACATGTCTCTGCGAATTTGTATTTCATTGATTATTGTTTTGATGTAGGCTTTATGGATAAATTTATTTTTTGAAAATTTTTTTCATTTCATTTTTTTTGAAAATTTAAATTTTTGGTACGGGAAGTTGTAACAATTTGCCTTGAGTCTACATTATTTAATTAGTTTCGTATTCAACTAAAAATTGGATTTAAATATTTCTTATTGGTTATTTGTAGAATAATTAATTGCATCTAATTAACGTGATTTATTGGTTATATACGATGAATCCAGGTCAAGAAATACACTACTATTTTACACAATTTGCTCGATCTAATTAGTGTTCACCGGAAAAAGATAAGATAGAACCAAAAATAAGTATCAGGTTATTACCTGGACAAGCATAATAGTTACAAAAATGTAAGGTTATATAAAATTAAATTCAAAATAACTGATCATCAAATTTGAATGCTATAGCATTCGGGTCATGCTGCTTCATAATGAAAATGAATTTTTCACATTTCATCACTTGGTAATAATTTTAGATTTGAGCATCAAGAACCAAACAAAATATCGAATCCAAATATGTATATTATTGATATTTGGTATTATATTGATATTCTAAATTTTTAGTGTATTATATTGATATTCTAAATTTTTGTGTAAATTAGCATAATTTCAAACGAGAATATACCTACACGTGTTTTTGTACAAAATGCATATTCATAAACAAATCTGCATAAATCATTCATTATATCCACCTTCACAGGAGTGTTATCAGTCTTTGTCGGACAAATTTTACTGACACAATAATATAATACAATAGTTGTTTGAAAACAACCAGTGAGTGAAGATGAGTGCCTTTGTAATATTTATAAGTTTATTTATTATTTGTAGTGAAGCAACTGAAATTTATAGTGATTATGTAGATGTAACAATCGAACAAGGTGTTTTACGAGGTGCCGTCGATTTTACGAAAGGTTCTAAAATGTTTTACAGTTTTTCTGGAATACCGTATGCTGAACCACCTGTTGGGAGTTTGAGATTCAAGGTAACTTGATTTTGAATTTTTTTTTAAATTTAAAAACTTGATTTTTAAAAAATTTAAAGTAGCATTGTAACATTTATATTCTTGTCTAATATTAACACGTTAATTGCCATGTCAGACGTATGGGTCAGACGCTAAGAAGTTCTACACGAATCATTTCTTAGAATAAGCTTTATCATAGGGCCATGTCAGTCATATATGTGTGTTATAAAAAATAATGTTTTGCCAGGAATTTTGACAAAAAAGTTTTTTTCTTCGATAAATCAACTTTTCTTGGTACTTTTTAACTCAATTATCGGATAAATTTACCATGGTCCAAGTGATTTTTTCTTGTATTATCGTGACGATTAACGTGTTAAATAGGTGCATGTAATTATTTAATTTCTTTGATATGTATGTATTTGTATATGTTTTAATTATATTGTCTGTATTGAAATAATCAATAATTATCATCACATCATCCACACTAACGACGATGACAATGTTTATATTTATTTTATGTTAGATAATGTGGTATCAAGGTTTTTATCTCAATTCCTATTGATATTTTTCAGTGATAAATTATTAATATTTTTTAATTAATAATTAGGCTATCGACTCACAGCAAAATTTTTATGTATAAAACTTATTTTAGTTAATTTTATCATTTTTTTTCAAATTTTTCTATTTAATGACTAATGTTAACAGCGATTTATGCCATACATTTTATGCTGAATACGAGTTAAGAAAAAAAATTATTCAAATTAGTTGATGTTTCTTCATTCAAATCCATACTCATTGTAAGCAACTTTCCTATTTTATCTAAAAGATTTATAATTTTTAATTTACATAATTTTCAATGTACAGTTTGCTAAGAACAATAAAACAAAAAAAACATAATTTTATTACAAGTGGAATTTTTTACTATATTATAAATGAGCAAAATACTTAATAAAATTTAATATAATTACTAGAACTGATAAAAACTTCACATGCCATGAAACTTAGGTCATTTACATTTTTCTTTATCAACTTAATTATTATGCAAATAGTAATATATAACTGTAAAGTAGTATTGCATAAGTAATATATCAATATGTAATTATTATATACAAAATGACGATTAGAATATTTTCATAAAATTTGCAGGAAATAAAACTCACAAATTGAAAATGAATTTTATGCCAAACTGAATTTTTTTTAAAAAAACATAATGACCTTTTTAATGCATAAAATAATCTGATTTATAACAAAAATTTACTACTTATTTTAATGAAATTTAGTTAGTAATTTTGATTATTAATAATAAATATTTAAACTCATTAATGTGTAATGTGCATTAATGGATTCGAGTATTATTGTCTATTCTAACAAATGATTTTAATTATTAGTAATTTTTTTGTAATTTTTGGGAAGACCTATTGCTGAACTATTAGATGTACCATATCACCCAAAGGAAGTTTTTACCCACGTCTATAAATTCTTGATATCAAGCAGTAGTAATATATATTTGTATTGGCTTTTAAAAAGGTTCTAGTACAACTTTTATTCTTTAGTACCAGAACAGATGAACAATTAATATTTAGCTTTTTTCATTAGCAGGATTCAATCCTAGTTATAGCAAAAAAAAACTAAAACATACCAAGTTCAATTTTTTTACTCAGGTTTACTAGAAAAAATAATGAATGTTTAATTCAATTTTTTTTAAGTTTTAGTCAATTCCTATGTATATATAACCATCGTGATTTGTATTAGATTTTCTATTGATATCAAACTACATGTCTAAATATTAACAAAGAAATGCTTTTTTGGTATATTTAAAATTATTTGTAATATTAATATTACAATTTGTAATATTTTGCCTTTTGATTGAACAATTTTTTTATTTATTTATTCATTTTTTTTGTTTTTATTAATTTTTTTTTAAATTTTTTTATTATTTTTTTGTAGATAATAAATTCAGCAATTTGCTAATCAATTGATTACATATAACAATTTTGATATCTTCAGACAAACTTAATGACATAAAACTTTTACATTGATTAACTCATATTTATAATAGATAAATATGATGAACCCAAAACATATTTATTTTGATTACATGATAACGTATCTAAAGAAGATATTTATTGTTTTATGACGACAATGATAGTAGTTCTGTACTCATTACGTGATAAATTAAATGTTTTGTTAAAAGTTGAAAAATCTAAATTAATTTTTTAGGAACCTCAGGAGCCTAGTAAATGGTACGATATCAGAAATGCAACAGTTGAAGGCGAATCTTGTAGATCGCTGCACATGGTTGGCTTATATTATTTTGGTAAGTATTAATTAATAATAAATATCAGATATTTGGTACAAATTATATTTGATATAGATTCATAACTAAAATTTCTCCTAGGTAGTGAGGATTGTCTATACTTAAACGTATATACACCTCATATACCTGAGGATGACCAACGTTTGTTGCCAGTAATGTTTTGGATCCACGGTGGTAGTTTTTACATGGGTGGTGGAACTGCATATCGGTATGGGCCACATTTTTTGGTTGAAGAAGATGTTGTTTTAGTCACCATCAATTACCGCCTTGGAGCCTTGGGTTTCTTGAGCTTGGATATTCCAGACGCTCCAGGAAATATGGGCTTGAAAGATCAGGTTGGTTGAGTTGAAATTTCATAAAATTCAATCGAAATTTTGTGGTTAGATATGGCCAAGTAGTCAAATGTTGACCTGTAGATGCAGGGGTATTCGGATCAAATCCCGGTCGAGAACTTGCATATAAAATTAAATTCATGTAGACTTAAAAAAATGATGAAGATTTGAAAAATTATACTTAAAAGAAAAAAGATAGAATACTATAGATACAAAATATTGGTATCGTTGAATTAACTAAAACATCCAAAATGTCAATTATAATATTTTTATTAATATTACTCAGTTAGAATATATTATTAATAATGTTGCTTTTATTTTTGAAGGTGGCTGCATTAAAGTGGGTCAAAAGTAATATAAAATATTTTGGAGGTGACCCCCATAATGTGACAATATTCGGAGAATCAGCTGGTGGTTCCTGTGTACATTACCTTTTGCTCTCTGATATGGCAAAAGGTCTTTTTCATAAAGCTATTATGCAGAGTGGAACAGCTTTAAACTATTGGGCTCATGAAGAAAATCCGAGGGCGGTAAGTTTTTGGTATAGCAAACATAGAAATTATATTAAAGAAACTATTGTTGCAAAAATGTTTGAAGAAAATGTAATCGTTAAATTTGATATCTTGAACTGTATCAAAAAATATAACTAATTAATTACATTCAGGAACTATTATTTCGTTCACTTAAAATATGTAGATAAAAAATTTTGACCATACATTTTTATGAATCATCTAAATATGATTCTTATCAATTATTCTTATTATTTTAGAGGGTCAAAGAACTATGTAAAGAATTAAACTACACATTTACTGAACCAGAAAAGGCCCTCACATTTCTCCTAAATGTACCAGTTGAAACTTTGGTAGAAGCTGCTGAAAATATTACTCGTGCTCCACAATATGCAGGAAAAATGAGTGATATTGCTTTTGCTCCAATCACAGAACAAATACATCCTGGACACGAAGCCTTTTTAACACAACACCCTTTACAAATCGAAAAATCCGGTAAATTCAACCAAGTTTCCATCATGATAGGAAACACTGATGGCGAAGGCACCATGTTCATGCCTCCATACTTCGATGATCCCCAGAAATATAAAGAAATTGATGAACATCTTGAACTATTAGTACCCCAAGATATAAAAATGGATAAAACAGAAGCTGCCAAAAAGATAAGAGAATTTTACTTCCAAAATCAACCAGTATCTGATAAAACGAAAAACCAATTTGTAGATTTAATAACTGATTTCATGATAGCTACAAAAACCAATACCATGGCTAAAATCCATACCAATTTGTCGAAAGAGGCTGTGTATTTTTACAGATTTGCATTTGATGAAGTAAGTTTTTACAAACAATTGTATAAAATCGATATGAAAAGAGCTTGTCATGCTGATGAATTGTTGTATTTGTTCACAAATGAAATAGAAAGTTTAGAATTTCCTAATACTCCAGGAAGTAAAGTTGATAGAATGCAGAAAATAATGACAAAGTTGTGGACAAACTTTGCAAAAACTGGGTAAGATAAACTATTTTGATTTTTTACAAACAATTGCTTGAACACACTCCAACATTAGATTATTTTTATTAGTAAATTGTAGTCTCATTCTATCGTATAAGACTTTGTTCTAACTAGTTTCATTTAATTAATTTGATCTTTTGGCTATTAGAATTTCATATAATTTTTTTATTATTTTTTTAAGGAATCCAACACCAGAAAAAACAGATTTAATACCAGTTATCTGGCAAAGTATGACCAAGGAAAAAATGCACTATCTAAACATTGGAGAAAAATTAGAAACTGGAGTTGATCCTGATAAAGAAAGATTGCAGTTTTGGGAACAACTGTATAACTCTGGGAGAAGTATTAGCAATATTTATATAATGACATCAATTTGTTCAGTATATGCAGTATTTATTTTTTTAAATATTTTATAGTTATTATTTAATACAAATTTTATTTTGTTAATTTATTCTTAAGCTTTAACTTATTAATTGAGGCTGCGTTACTTACGGTTGTTTGAATAATTTTATTCTGAAATTCTTGAAGATATATATTTAGTATGCAAGGTATTTTAATTTTATACGTATTTTATATAAGAATAAAAAGCATATTATATACTTTTATATACATATACAGATATTCTCATTAAATAATATAAATAAGCACGTATATGAAATTTCAATTTATCACATCTTTTTCGTTTATGCGTTATATAATGATGAAAGTGAATAATTTGAGAACAGTTTCTCAAAATTATAATTTTTTCCTGCTCCTGTAGATATAATATTAAATTTTAAAATTTTCATACATTTTTCATAAAAAACATAAAATACTTTTTTACCACACCTTCTCAAGTTTACTCTGATTTTTTATTTATTGGAACTTTCGATACTAAATGTTTGGGAACCACAATCTTCTTATCGATCTCATTTGCATCTTTATATTTCTGAAAATGCGTATAAGATAATTATTTTAAAATTAATTATAAAAATAATCTTTTCTAGAGAAGCATATATTATTATTAATCTCTATGGAGTACATTATGCTCTTTAAAATTCAAATCTAATTATTATATTAAATTAATTTCAATTAGTCTTATATTTTTGAAATTGCTACTTATGTTCAGATTTTATATGATCTAATATTCAATATTTAAATGAATTATTCGAAATTATTGCTATTTTTATGAAGTATTATTTTAATATATTTTAATTTATTTTGTTACCTGTATGGCCACATGTATAGGAAACAAAGGTTTCTCCTGATTTTTATATTTTCTAAGAATACTCTTCGCATACTTAAAAAAATGTTCATCATCTTCTTGATAATTTGTATAAACTTTCATATTAGCTTCTTTGTTTACTTGTCTTTCTAGAGCTTTAACTCTTTCAACTTCTTTCTAAAATCATTAAAGAAAAAAATTGTGAATATAACTCGGATATTATTAATTGATTTAAATTAAATGTTTAATTAAATCAGTTTTTTGTTAGTGAATATAAGGAGTATCCATTATTTTTACCATCTGGTTAGCCCAATCTTCATTATTTTTCTCCATAATATCACGAATTCTTTTCTCAGTTCTATTTTGTAGCTCATAAGTAATTTTTCGATTTTTTTCAGCATTAAGAATTTCATTTTTCTTAAATTCTTTTTCTTGAAGTTTTTTTGCTTCAGACTCTCTAAGATATTCTTCATAAGTTTTTCGTCTTTCTTCTGCTAATTTATTTTTGTGTTCTAACATTTTGTCTTGGCGTTCATGAAATCTGATAAAAAAGTATTTTTAATAAATTCAATTTTTAATAAATCCGATTTTTAATATATCCAATTTTTAATAAATCCAATTTTTAATTAATAAATCCAATTTTAATAATTAATTTTTTTTAAATTTCAAATATACCCACATTAAATATTCAATTTAAAAAAAAGCAACTGTATAGGAAAAGTAAAGAAAACTGGTGCTTTGAATGTCAAATCGTTTCTATATTTTTTATAGATGTTGGAAATTTAAATTAAAACTGAAATTAATTAAAAATAAAATTAAAATTAAATTTTTGAAGCGATTACTTTAGGTCATTTTCTATTTCAGCGTTTTTGAGACATTTTTCTTCTTCTGTATAATCTGGTTTGATCATAGAGTAAATTTTCTTGGAAACTCTTTTTAATTCTTCATCTTTTTCTCGTTTCATCTAAAATATATAGAAACTAAAAGACTTAGCAATTATTCTTTGTATTTTGTACAGAATTTCAAAAATATCATTTTCATGTAGTACAATTCATACAATCATCATTTTAATTTATGATGAATACCAAATTTATACCTAAGTTTTAGTGTAAATTATTTTGATATAACCCAAAAGTTGAATTTGCATCTCGAAACCAACTCTGTTCTGCTTTTTCGGTAGCAGCAAAGAGAATATTTTTTAGTTTTTATTATTCATATTGAACAGATTTTTTTAGAAATAAATATTCTGTCAGAATCACCTGTTTTTCTCTCATTTTTGTAATAGCTTTCAATCTAACTTGGCCTTCTTCAAATTTTTGAATATCTTGGCGTTCAGCATCATTTATTTTCTGCATTTTTTCATCATGTGCTTGTTTTAACTCCAAACATTCTAAATAATTTTGTTTTGCTTGTTGTTTACTCTTTAATATCTAGTGAAAATCACATAGTAAATTTTAAAATAAACAATAAATAAATTCCATTATTTTACCTTTGAATTTTCGAGTTGCAGTATATTGTTGAATCTTTGAGTTTGCTCTTCCAATTCTTTGGACTCATCTTTAATTTTTTGGTCAAGTTCTAGTTTTTTGTTGTGGGCATGCTCTAATTTTCTAAAATATGAAAATGGTCAACTTCATAACACTAGAAACATAAATTTAATATCTTATTTTTCACACTAAAAACTAGATGAGTGCTGAAAAATTGCCTAAATTCTAAATTAGTACGGATTTATGCAATTTCCGAAACTACATTTCGTAATTTTGATTTAAAAGAGTAAACAAGTTCTTAGATCAAAAAACTCTTAGATTTTGTGTACTGGATTTAGTTAGACAAAAATATTCCATTAATGTTAATGTCTAGAATTTTGTCTGAAAATGTACATACTGTTGGTATACAGAATTCTTATATTCATCATATTCCTGCAATCTTTTATTTCTCTTGGTCATTTCTTCCATATAATGTTTTTTGGCTTCTCTTATAACAAATTCACCATGAAGTTTTTCTTTAAGTTTTTCATCATCTCGTAGTTTTTCTTGGTATTCAAGTTGTTGATCTCTTTCATAAATTACATCACTTATGAGCAAAGCACTAAAAAAGTATAAAAAATAAAAATATTAGAACTAATTAAATTTATTCAAGAAGTAAAATTATTAAATATTTATCTTTTGCTTTATTAATTGTTTGGTTCAAATTTATACTATATGATATATGAAAACAGTTTATACTGTAATATATGAATAATTTTTTATAATTGTAATAAATTTTGGTCTAACTGACTCTATGACTGAAATCCAGAAAAATGTATTTCTATTACAAATTTATAATTTTATTGCAACTGAAGCAATTAAATAGCTATTACCTTTCTAGCATTTTTGGACCAGCAACATCTCTTTTCAAAAATGGTTCAATTTTCTTAATAAATTTCGATCTGGTTCTAGCCTGATCTGGTGTTATTTCAGTTCTCTTCTTTTTGAGTTCTTGAAATTCTTCTTCTGTCATCCTGTGATCTTGTTGAGCACGTTTTTCCAACATTCTTCGCATGTTTTCTTCTTTTAATTTCTAATTAATAATTATATTTATTATCAATCAATGTAAAATACATATATAAAATTATAACAAATAAAATCAAGCGATAAAGTACAGAGAAAAAATATCTCTAGAACGCTCTAAAAATACTGTGATAGTACAATCAAATTCATTCATGTAACTTCTGGTTAGATTTATATAGGAATAGAAAGTTTGTAAATACAAATATAATTTTTTTTTCAATTACCATTTGTGATATAATTTAAAACAAATATGATAGTTAATATAATACATCATAATAGTTACTAAATTTTTTGGAAAAATATCATAAAATTAAGTAAAATATAATTAACTTAAAAATGTGCTTACATCAAAACGAATAGAGTTCATAATAATTTTTTTTTAAATATGTTATTTACTTACAATGAGATTATCAGTCCATTTCGATGACAAAGCCTCTGATCCTTCTTTTAAATATTTATCAAAATTTTTCTGGAAAGATTTCAACTGATATTCGTATCTTCTTTGGTTGACCAACTCTTGCATTCTTCGCCATTCGGTTGCAGGAACCATAGTGGCTTTTCTATACAACTCGTATCTTAGCAAAAAATGAAAATTGTGCCAGAAATATTTAATAGAATGATTTTTTTTATAAATTATCAGTTTAATTCAATAGTTTTTTTTGGTTTCAAATGGTTATAAATCATATCGGTTTTGTCTGTATTATGAATAAATTTACATTTTTACTTTACAGTTTGAAATTTTGTATACAGTTTGAATGCATGTAGGGTTTAAAATAACTTTCAATCTTTAATGAATTTTTATAGTTCAACAATTTTTCATAAGCCTCTAATATTTTACAATGTTAGTTTATATAACAAATTCTATCATCATATTAAGTTTCATTAAAAGCGCCAAAAATTAACATTTAATTCCGAAACAAAGGCTAAGGATATTATTTTAATATGCTATTTAGAAACAATAGCAATTCAGAAAATTTACATCTAAGATTTATATGTACGATTTTAAAAAATATGTAGAATAATTTAAATTGAAATGATTTATTTATTATTAATAACAAGTAAACATGAAAATCAAATCAGAATCAAAATTATCGTTGTTTTATAGAAGAGCTCATTAGCTTTAATAACCATATATGAGTTAAGTAAGTCTTTGGATAAATCTGAATTACAGTAATTTTTATACAAACTTTTATGAAAACGTTCTCAATTACAGTTTAATACAATATTTTACATATAATTTATTCTAATTTATTTGATTAAGTTTAAAATCATTTATATAAATTATTTTTTATTAGAAAAAATTGGTTACCTTTCATCTCCTTCACTTGAATCTTTATTTGTTTCACTTTGCGACATTATTATTTAAAATAAAACTAATTATATATATTTGATATTTTTTTACACTGTTGAGCTTTTATGTATATTTTTTAATATTAAGAATATTAAAATTTTATTATCTGTTATTTATTAAGTGATTTTTGCGGTGCAAATTAATAAATATAGTTATTAGACGGATTATCAGTGTTACCACAATATTGCTCTATATATTTATTTGATATACTTTAATAATTATTATCTGTATTTATATTCATTATATAATTATTGTTATTAAATGTAAAATAAAAAGTCTAGGATTATTTTGAAAACATCATTCAAAATTAAGCTTTTGTAGAAACAGTGTCTTTACTATGCAAATGGTTTGTTATACGTAACCAAGGCAACCTTTATATATCTTATACAAACGTAAACAAGCTATTTAATATTTTGATTTATTGATTTATATTCACACAAAAGAGGGGTGTTCGTGTCATAGTATTAGAGACCTGGTCTTGCATCCATAAGGTTGCGAGTTTAAATTTTGCTTTGCCTAATATCAAGCAATAGTGATATCAGGAAAAGTTTTCTCTTGTAAATATAGACGAAACATATTATTTTTGATAAAAATTGGCTGTTTAGTCATTTCTGCCCGAAACTAAGCCAAAACTGCTACTACTTAATTATTAAACTACTTATTTGAAGTACTTTAATATACAACCATAACAATTGGGTTTTTTCCAATGAGACCTGTAAAGATTATTAAAAAATCATAAATGTTGGATAATAAAATATTTGAATGACCAATAATAACAGAAAAATTATCAGTAAAAATACTAATTAGCAGTATTTCATACTGCTAATTAGTATGAAATACTATGTTATAATAAAAAAATAATAATATTATCAAACTTGTAACATCAAAGTAGTATAATGTTTTGAGTTGGAATTAAATAACAGATTTCAGAGACCTTTGTTGGTAGAAATTCTTGTAATTTAAGATAATAATTGTATTTAATTTTTTTGAAACAAATATTTTCTAAAGACAATAGGTTTTGAATATTTCAAAAATAATATTTCATTTATTATTAGTTTTCTGTGACAAGTATACAATTTAAATTAAGTAATTATTAGCTGACACTAAATTACCAACTGACTGACTGACTTCTCTAGCACTCTAGATGAGATGGATAAAACAATAAAGATTAATTTGGTAAATTATATAAGTTTATATAATTTCTTCATAAAAATTGCATTATTATTACTGCCAAATAATAACTCTGCTAACAATATTTTAAATCAATACTAACTGATTGGCATTCTACATACAAATTTGATTCAATTCCAATCCTATATCAAAATTTTATTACTTGACACTTGACAATTGATCAACTCGATGCGCTTTTGTCAAATATTTTTGGTATTTTTATTATAAGATTTTTTGTAGAATTTTAATACTAATTTATGGTGAATTAAAATGTGATTTTATTCTGTCTTTTGTGAATCACAATCAGTAAATTTGTGCATTCAAGATGTATCTGGAGAAACAATTTTTGATAATGATCTCAAAATGCGTTTCTGTACTATTTGGAAATAAACCTATGCTCGAGGATGCGTATGAGGACGAACCCAAGGTAATAATAGATTTATATTATTATTGATTTATCAGTAAACAAGGTTTAATTTTGAATTTTGATGATGATTTGGTATAGTGATATTAAAACCTATTTTTTAATAATTTACCAAAATGTGTGTCTTTTATCTAGTATGAGAGTTCCTGGTTTGTTCTTCATTGGCTCAGATGTACAGCAAATATGATGTTGAGTATCCAGACTTGCCTTACCCCTCGTCGTCTGGCAATAGTTGAACACAAATTGGAAAGTGCCAGAGAGCTTTCACCAGCTCCCAAAATGGGACAAATGGAAAGAAGTGATGCTTTTAGTGAAATTACATCCACCAGGTTGGTTGAGATTTAGAGATTTTACATACATTATGTAGGAACATTATTTATGGAGATGTCAGTTTATAACTAGTTGTAAAAAGCATTTTATCTTAAGGCAAGTAGCTAGAATTTTCAGAAACGTATACACAATCAACTTAATCAATAATTTTTAGAATTCAGCTATTTAGGTGAAATATTCAACTTTTTATTTCGAAAATAACATATTATTTCAGACTAGAAAATAATACTTTCTCCAAATTTGGTCTTATTCGATTCAGAATGACTTGTAACTTCGAGAAAATAGAAAATTACCAAATCGGATTTGACTTCTCCTTCGGTAAACTAACCCTCCATTGGGTCTAAATATTAAGAATAAGAATATTGTTGTAGTTATATTAATAAAAATAGATGAAATTTTATTTATATGTAATAAATTTGACTAAATTCAATTCGTACAAATTCATTTCATGTATATGAAAATTTACAAATTATAGATAAAAACTTTCATTAACTTCCCAAGTAAGTAATTTCGCAGAGAAGTCGAAAATGAAATTTTTTATATATCTTTACGTTTCAAAGGTTTTTGAATATTTTGGCATACCTTAGAAAAAATGGATGTACGTGTGCGTGTGTATGTCTGTGTGTATGTGTGTGCCGATACAAATTTTCGTCGACGATTTCGGGAACACGGATCAACCGATTTGAATAATTAAAAAAACATTCGATTTGTATTGATAAGGAGACATGTTGATTAGTTGTTGGCGAAGGCAGGTCTAGCCGTTCTATGCCAAAAAATGTCATTTGGCGGTCATAAATGTTTGTTGGGCTTATGTACATCAATATATCAGATATTTTATAGAGATTTTAATAATGTATGAACTTTTTGTGTAAATTTTTTTGGGTTTCGTACTAAGATTTTTAATTACGGTACGGGAAGTTCCAGAAATTTGCTTTAAGGCACGCACCCCACTAATCTTAATTTTTTATTGTTGACATATTTACTATCTTATACTCATTTACTACGAGATGTCAATTTGATATCTGTTATTACTATTATTTTACAAGATATATGATTAACGATAAGATATATTTAAAATTTATTTTCCTGGATATATAGTTAAATAAATTAAATGATTGTATAGCTTTTTGGAGCAAAGAAATTCGAAAATGACCATATTAAGGACCACCCTAATATAGCTATTGTATATATTTTTAGGTTAATATAAAAATATCCCCCACATGAAATCAAATATGCCATTGGTACATTAAAATTATATTGATAAAACGATTTACTATTATGAGTTTTTAAAAATATTTACTACGATATATATTAAATATATTATGCTAAAATATTGTATCAATCGCCGCGGCGACAGACTAGAGCTTTGAGTAAAAATATCAAGTTCATACTTTTTTTGACTAAAACTGATTGACATAATAATGATAATTTGGTAGAGCTTTAAAGTAAAAATAAATAAATAACAATATATAAAATTACATAATTTTTTTCACTATTTTTTTATTTTAGTACAGACCATCACTTCGTCGCCGCGGCATTGATGCAGCCAACATGTTCTTCGGCGACATTAATTGATCAGGAGTGCTTATCATGCACCACCTTAACAGATGATTTGCAACAAAATAATCCTAGTATTTTACAAGAATCCTCAACACCAAGGTAGAACCTACAAAAAACACGTTTACACATACTCAATAATTTATATGCTAAATTTATCATTTATTATTTTTTTATTTTTTTCAGACCATCTCCATGGGAAACAGGTTCCTCCGCCTCTGTATCCACCTTGACCACAAATGATACTGATCCGCCAAATTCTGCAGCAGAATTAGTTGCTAAGAGTGCTCTTGCTGAAGATTCTGCAGAAGCAATGGAGGATGATGATGATGAATATATTTGGGACGAAATGACTGCGAGAGTTGATGAATTATTGAAACAAGAGCTGAAGGATAGCATTTGTCTTGAAAGAACTGTTGCGGATGCTGAAGAACATTGTTCCACTGTAAGAAATAGAAATAATTATATGAATGTAAACTGAAATAGAAACGAAATATTTTTAATATTTTGTTAGTGCAAAATTAAACTTTGATGTATATTATTATCGAAATTGTGATTGTAATTACATGCAGGTAAATTGCTTAGACACGAGTCATCCTGTATTTTCTGTTAGGACCTCCAAATGGCCTTGGATATATTTTCTTGGTTTTTGAACAGTTTATCAAAATTATATAGAACACTATTTTTAGAAAAGCCATTTGGTATTGTATGTATAATATTTTATTACTTTTATATCCATTAGTAGCTAAAATTTTAAAGCAGCTCTTTTGACTAAACCACAACTTTCTATATGTACTTTCTCAAGCCTTATCAAAAGTCATTATTGATATTAATAGTATTAATAGCAAAGTAGAAACTTTAAGACCAAAAAAATATAAACATGTAATAACCTCATTTTTTTTTAAATTAATATGTCTATTATCCAGGTTGGTCAAATCCACGACATGGCTGCTCGAATCAAGAAACTTATGGACGAAAACGATCGTCTGACCAAAAATTTACTAATGGAAAATGTAAAACAGCAATCAGGAGAGCAAATTGAGTCGACAGAAATGGAATGCGACTGTGATTAATTTTTTTGTATGTATACTTTAGTAATTTTGGTCTTTGATTGAAAAACTTGCACTCCTACTAATTTGGTGAAGACTTAAAATTTTTGTATGTGAACGTGTATTTAGATCTGTGATAATAGATGTTCTTAAATTTTTTATATTGTTTTTTTAGTAATTTTTAAATAGTTACTTCTAGTTTGTGGTTTTACTTAATACTAACAAAATTGACAGCGTAATCTCTGATACTTAGCATGTACTACAAACTAATATTTTTTGTTTGACTCAGTTAATTTCATGTGACAAACCGGCATTGTGTTCACTATGAAATTGTGCAAAAAAAGTAAAACAAAATAAGTTATTCGTTTTCTATCATTTCAATTGGAAACCATCAAATCAATCACGTGTATTGTCCAATTTTTTATTCAATTTCAACAGCAGGCAATTTTTTTCTTTATCTTTTAATCACCAAACAAAATGTTACATAAAATGAAACCATCTGGTGGTGAAACGGAGTTCGCCCGGTTTGCTAGTTTCATATAAAATTCATTACTATATATTATTAATGGCTATCAACAATTGTAGATTTTATATTTGCAAAGAATTGAGAGTCAATATGTAGATCTTGATACTCTAAATTTTTAGTTTCTTCTCATTAACTTTTCCTGATCACATTTTATTTATTAAAAATTACTATACCTGATTTCATTTAATTTTGTTTCTAATCTAATAAATACCACATTTTTTAATAAACAAGACTTCAATGTATTATTATAAATATTTTATATACAAAACATTATACAATATTTTTAAGAAGCTTCTGATTTTTCCCAAAAATTCATTATTATTGCAACTGATACGTAAAATACAATACAATGACGTATAATTAATAATTAAAATGCAATATGATGAAAACTTGTGTTCGACACTAATATTAATTTTACACTTACGTATATTTTTTGTAAAAAATTACTAACAGATAGATACATACATTTAATATTTTAATGAAGTGCTTTAATAACATGTAGTATGGTGTGGAATTAATTTAAAAGATTTTTGTGTAGGACCACGTGGCTAATAATAAAAAATAATTGATTACTTACTATAATAATAATATAAAATCTATACATTTCAAATAACATTCTGATGCAAAATACATACTTGTTAAAATAATAATTTTAATATATTAAAATGAATTAGACTTGAAAGTCACTTATATTAAATAAGGTCAATAAGAACTTAAATTATGTTCGTTGAAAAATAATTTTTGTTAATAATTGCTTTTTATTCCTATAAAATCATCATTGATATTCTTTACTTAGCCACATAGTGCTACATCATTATATTATTTATTATAAATTTACTAAAATGTTTGATGAATTTGATATATTTTTTATAAATAATATTTGTTTTTAAACTCTTGTACTTAATTTGTAAATTAAGTTTACATGATTGACTATAAATATTTATTATATTATTTACAATCAATATATTTATCTATGATTATAACTTACCTAATACAATATTATATAATTTGCTCAATTGGGGATTGTTTCACAATTATAAAATATAGACAAAAAATAATTATTGTTGTACGATATGGTAATTGAAATTTTTCATTTTTTAAATTTACTATGTTTTAATGGTATTTCCATTGTGAAAAAATCCCCAATTTCGGTTTTTTACTATTATTAAAATACAAATCCATTGACATTTTTTTTTAATTTTTTTTTAAATTATTTTACAAGAATACCTTTATACTTTATGTACATAATTAAATGAAAATATGAAGCAGATTTATGGAAGATATGATAGGATTATGTTTGAATATTACACATATAGATCATAATATTATCAAGCAGAGTAAAATAACAAAGTTCGATATTAAATTATTATACAAATTTTATCAATTGATTAATATCGTTGGTTTCAATTTATTTGTCATAAATAACAGGATGACAAATGAACACTCAAAATTGCATTTTTTTGTTGTTTTTTTTTTAATGAAATTTAGATAAATATATAGTTGGTACTTTCTATAAATCATATAGATTTTCACATAGCAAACTCAAAAACAGAATTTTTCATATCTTTATCCAAATGATTTTTTTTTTTGATCAATTTGTTCATATTTTTTTCATAAATATTTCTCAAATTTTGTCAAACAATTTAACAAAATTGATTATCTCCCTTGAAAAATAACGCTCATAAAATTTATTTATTTTATTTAAATTGATATTATTAGGATCTTATAGTGTTTCATACATTGATTCAAAACTGTATTACCTCAATTTTCTTGAAATGGTTTCTGAATTTATTTACTCAAAATATAATTATGAAAAAATAAAACTTTTTTAGTCATCAGAAAATTTGATGCTACTGTTACCTAGAAGACACATTTATACATTATGCCACTAATAAATATTATATTGTAATATGAGGTTACTTTATAATATTTTATGTACATTTATAGTATTTATCGCACTTAATTTGTTTATATATATATAAATATATATATATATATATATATATATATATTATTTAAATTAAACAATGCCTATAATACATTTCTTCAAAAATTGCGTCGGACGACAAAACTTTGATCAAATTGACTATTGATTGAAAGTATAATAAAATTTCTATTATTCTCATACAAAATATTAAAAAAATGTGTTTTTGATGGAAATACATAATATACAAATTTGCAAATAATTTACAAAAATAATTTGCTATTTTATAACAAAAAAAATCTTAAAAATAATAGTAAGAAAATAGAAATAGCAAAACACCTATTGTAATGTTTAGAAACTTAAATGCAACTTAAACGTTAATACATTATTAGTATTGAATTGTCTAATTTTCTAAGAATTAAGATATTTTATCTGTGATATGCAAATTTTACATAAAAAATATTTTTGTCGTCCAACCTTAATAATTATAATTTAAAAATATTTTATATATCGTATAATATATCCTCTTTGCTTCTAATCTATCGTATCTCACAATTTATTGACGATTTAGTAATTCTTATAATAAAAAAATGTTTCAATTGATCAAAATTTTATCGAAAATCAGTTATAATAACATTGAATATACATTGCATATATTTTATATAAACTGAGAAAAAATTTATAGAATATATCAACCAAGAATTAAATAATCATATCTAATATGTTACTATGTAATTCATAGTTAACTTTAGAATTTTATATTTTTTATTAAAATAATATTTTATTTGGAATAAACTTACAAGTTGAATAGTTTTTTTCATACATAGTTTTTAACTATAAATAAATTATTTATTCTAAAATTCGATAAAATTTCGATCAATTTCAACACTGAATTATACAAACACAATGTACCCAGAAATAGACACATATATAATATTTATTACCATTTTCTTCAATCCTTTACTATATACATTGCATTAATATCATATTAATTTGAACATTATATTAATTTTTTATATTACATATGCTATCTTTTTTCTTCATATTTTTACTTGTTATAAAAATATAGATAGTGGAATATTCAATCTTCTGTTTATGATAGTTTTTGTATAATTAATTATTTAAAAAAGGAAAAATTATAGCTCGATTATTGATGAAGTCTAAATGAACCATGTTGTTAGAAGAAGCAGAATTATGGAAGATTGAAGCAGAGATGGCCTCAGTCTTATGCTATCACTTCGTACTGAAAAAGAGAAAATATAATGAGAATTTTAGAATCTAAAATGTTGTTTTTAGAGTCTTAAGCTGAAATGATGCTAAAACTTTTCAATTCGTAAGTTAAAATTATTTTAATTAATTTATCAATTGATCAGTAAACTGTGATTGGCAAATATACACGTCATGGAGAAGTGGAATAATTTTGTGTATTGACGAGTATATTCGTCATGCGTATGACGCATAAACTTTTAGAAATGTGGAAATACTTGTTACACTATTGGTGCATGGCATCGTGCCTTGAAGCAAATTGCTGGAGCTTCCCGTTCCGACAATTAAAGTTCGTAAAAAACTTTAAAATTTGTTGTAAAACAGAAAAAATGAGATTTTATCAAATTCTGAAATTTTTGAAAAAAAATGACATTTTTTCAGTTTTGCTCGGCAATTACCATTTTTGGCACCCTTTACACGGTATCTTCGAACCGGTTGGACCTGCCTTTGTCAAAAACTAATCAACAAAAATTGTATTCACACATACATACACACACACCCACATACATCATTTTTTTCTAAGGTATGCCAAAATGTTCAGAAGCCTTTGAAACGTAAAGATAGATAAAAAAAATATTTTCGATTTTTCCGATAACTTACTACGGAAAGTTAATAAATATTAATAAATTTGTCAATAAAATTGCCCCGGTATTATTGTATGAATTGAAATAAATTATAATCAAAATTTTTACCTTTTTGTAGGGTAAGTTATAGTATTCGCAAAGAAATCAAAAATGAAAATTTTTGCATATCTTTACGTTTAAAGGTTTCTGAACATTTTGGCATACCCCAGAAAAAATGGTTGTATGTGTGCGTGTGTATGTTTGGATACAATTTTTCGTCCACGATTTCGGGCGCACGAATCAACCGGTTTGAATGATTCAAAAAACATTCTGCTTATATTGACAAAATGAAAAACTGATTAATTTTTGAAAGGCAGGTCTAACGGTTTCGGAGATACAGAACAAAAAGTAAAAAAAAAAATATTTGGCGGTCAAAAATGATCAATAAACATATGCACATCAAATTATCAGATATTTGATCAAATTTTGAAAGTGAGTACTAATTTTGTTACAATTTTGTTGGGTTCCGTACCAAAAGTTTATTATACGTGTCAAGCACATTTCTAAAATTTCAGAAATTCAGTTTTATACTTCAAATATGAATTTTAAATTTACAATTCAAATTGAAAATGTGTATATTTTAATTGCTTTATTCTTAATGTGAGAAATATATGCTCAGATGGGTTTATTCAGCATCTCATGCTAATGTAAACTTTCTCAATTGTTTTGAGCGATAGGATCGTCACTGTATATTTTATGAACGATAAAATATATAGTGATTATAATTTTCATTTGATCAATATTTATTGATTAATGACTTTTTCCCTCATATATTTAATTCCAGCAATTTGTTTAAGGCACCACTAGTTTTGTAAATAAAATTACTCATGGATTTTTGAGTAAATTAAAATAAATTAGAAACTCAATAAATTTTTACACAGAATGACTTCGTCTTCAGTCCATAACTGTTACAAGAGTCTTAATGACACAATTATGATTGAAATGTGAGACAACAGGATAGTTAGAAAAGTTCAAAAATACAAAACAACCGAATGGTTCATACAATACCAAGGTTAAACCATGTACGTATTCACCTCCACATGCCACAAATCAATTATTTATCGACCTAAACCAAATCATTTATTAATAATTACCCAGCAGCATGGCTTCCCTATTGTCCAGTACCACTGTCGAAGCTGTTCCCAGCACCGGAGCCATCTCCTGCCCTGCCGACCAGAGCACGGGCGCCGCGGGCGTGACGCTCGCCACACAGCGAACACGCATGGATCCCGCCACGAAGTGCGAGGCTCGCACCGAGAAGCGCAGCCCGAGGGCGGATGTCGCCAGGCCGCCCGGATGGAGCACGGGGGCGAGCGGCACCAGCATGTCGGGACGCGTTACCTGGGTGAAAGATATATATAGGTAATGATATTTTTAATATTGCATTATTATTTAACACGTAACATGTGAAGGCTATAGCATTCATTTTTATTGCGATGCAGAATGACATGAACGCTAAAGTATTAAAATTTCAAATTATTTTGAATTTATATTCATATAACCTTACGTTTTTGTTATTTTTTACCTGTCAAGATAATGACAGGTAAAAACTGATTCTTTCGGTATTTTCGTATTATCTTATCTTTCCCCGTAGTCATTAATTAGCTTGTGCAAGCACATCTTGTAAAATTACACTACATGGACTGCTAATTCTCATATATTTTCCGTTCTATATAGAAGGGTGTGTGACGTCACATGTCTGAGCGAACATTGCCGACGGCAATCGCAAAACTCTCCCGACTGATCAAACGTCATATGTTACGTGCATAACATAGGCCTTATTACATATGAACCGATTTTAACAGGTGGATTCGATTTTATGTACATTTATTTAAATATTATTAATATCATTTCTTACAAAATTATAAACCATCACAGTTGCCATTATATTATTAAAATAAAAGTATCACATATAAGCTTTATATCAAATGAACTATTATGATAAATACTATTAAATATTATTAATATCATTACTTATAAAATTATCGTAAATCTTGGAGTGGATACTATAGCATTCATAGTATATAACGATTAAAATATGACAATCCGACTATCCTTATAAACTTTTACTGTTTTTTTACCTTTATGTTATTTGTCTAACATATATTTGCAACATACACCAAATTTTACACTAAATACATTAATCGCCGTGTCAGCCATATGTGTCTGACGCTAAGAAGTTTTACATTTGGTAAAATGAGAGAAAGGTTTTGATATGTAGCCATGTCAGTCATTTTAGACATAAAATCTAGTGTTTGTTCAGGAATTTTGGAAAAATAAATTTTTCTTTGATGCATTAGGTTTTCTTGATACGATTTTACCTGAATTATTTAATAAAATTACATTTGCCTAAAAAATATGTATTTTTTTGATATTATAATTAACGTATTAGTCAAAATCCATAATCAATCGAACGATAGGATTGAAAATTTTCTTGTTGTCTATGACTACATATTTACATATAAGTGATTTACATTACATTTTACACTTACACATATTCATTTGTAAGAATAACTTGGGATAAGTGGTATTTTGCCTTAAGGCATGTTTCATGATCTTCTCAATATGTGTAAATAAACGACTTTAAATAAGAAATCAATATGTCGAATTTGATTTGTAAGAACATTGAGCTGCTGTACGAGCTTAAAATATTAGTTTGTACAAATTTTGACAATTACTTCAAATATTATATGTTATTGAAAGAAAGTATGTTCATAGAAATGTGGCTCATCATTCCAAACTTAAATAACTTTTTATAATTGTTCGTTTAGAGTCTTATCTTTAAGAAACTTTGGTTTAGACTGGCAATGATAGCATATCTATAATCGCACAAAATTTCATTAACATTAAGAAAATATTAACTTCTCCTTCGGGAAATAATTTAACTTGATAAGTTCACAATTTTTACCTTGATAAGCTATAATTATTACAAATTTATCTGTTTTAATTACAGTTAAAGAGACTGTATATCAATCCTTATAAATTATATTTAACACTATATGGAAATTGGCAAAGAAGTCACATACAAAATATAACAAATAATTACTGCGTGATCGTTTTCTCAACTTAAATAATTCTAGTTAGAAAAAAATAATTTTATCGGTATTGATTATATGGAAAATATGCTTAGAATTTGCAAAGATTATTTTAAATTATTAGAATTTTAAATTAAATGAGTAATTTAATATTTTATTAGAATTTTAGTTCTTTTTGTTTATGATCTGTTTATCTTGTTTAATACATTAATGTTTTTACACACGATTTTTTATAATTACGCACATTTAGTTATTTTACAGAAGCAAATTAATGAGTTAATTTTGCGACTATAAAAACCATTTTTATAATTAATCAAACTATTAAGAAAAAAAATAATCACATAGGTTGTTTCATAATATTTAGTACGCATCAATATTTGGTTTACTATTTTTTACAATTTTATTTCTTCACCTAGTTAAAAATAATTGCTTTAGAGAGCGCTACATATAGCACCATTAAATAGAATCTAACTTAGAGAATTCGGTTTCAATTAATTCAACTGTTATTTACAACGTACGGATGGGATAGCCGGGTATTATTCTAAGGTTTTTATACTCAATTCTCTCTTACACAGGAAATATCTTAGATGTTCTTATTCTAGCACTATTCCAGACACTGCTTCTAAACATCAATATATAGTTCTTTAGTAAAATCGATCGGAAATATAAAAGAAATTCAAAAAAGTCATTTTTGTTTAAAAAATTCTAGAATTTTTCAAAAATCTAATTTTTTCAATGTTTGAAAAGTTTTTTTTAATAATTTAGTTGTCGGTACGGGAAATTTCAGCAATTGTCTTAAGGAACGATGCCATGCACCACTAGTTATATTTTTTAAATGGGTCCTGCCGTTTTTGAGAAAACGTCGACGAAAGGTCAAAATTCAGTTCTCTCTCTCTCACACACACAGATCGAATAAACATCAAATTAGATTTTATAAAATCAGATTTTTTCGCGAAAACTTAACATCTTCCGCGGAAACTTAAATACATAAGTTTGTTGTAATTTTTTTACAAAATCTGTAAAATGTGTATATTTTATCTGCAACCTCTGCTTTATCCTTCTATTCTCCATTATTGGAAAACTAGGTCCCGATGCAACTGCATCGAACGCGTTTGTTCCCTCCGAAAGACTAGAGCGACAGGCGGGAGCGCAAGGGGGCGCATGGGGGCGCATGGGGGCGCATTCGTCCGATGTATAATTACATTTCTTCCGTTTCTAAATTCCCGGCACACATTCCCGAAGTAATAGCAAACGCGATATCAAATTATCAGACTGAAATTGCCGAATGGCGCGACGCTACCAGCTCCACTTGCAGGAGGAAAGCTGGAGTATTTAGAAAATTTGTTATAGCAGACAATAGAAAAGATATTCATTCTACATTTACAGATATATAAGAAGTTATGACTTCAATCAAAATTAATCCTTTATCTAATCTAGATTGGTCAAACAAATATGTTGTAGGCGTGGGTGAGCCTAAGAATAGACAAGAATAGATCGTTCGACAGGGTAATTTCTTGCGGATAAGTCTTCCAGCTAAACCCGAAAACGGGTGCCTAAAGCAAAAACTATATCGATAATATAAGATAATAATACTATAATCCCAAGATCCCATATATAGATTTTAGGATTATTTCATAACGTGAATATATCGCCACTACGATGAGATTCGTGCTATTTTTTGGCCTCGTAAATCATTTCGGCGGAGAAATGATATTGGTTCAGAGGTATGTACTATAGAATTTACTATAGAAATTAGAATTAGATGATGAGAGTTAGATTTTAATATATTATATATAACTTTACTGAGTGTTTTACAGAGCATTTTATTAATGGTTAACTTTCCGAAGGAGATTTTACGATAAAATCCGATTTGCTTATTTTATGTTTTCTCGGTGTTTCAAGTTCATCTGAATCGAATGAGACCAAATTTGGAAAATATGTATGTATGTGTGCAAATATTTCTCTCTGTGTGTATGTAAACCGCTTTTTAATATTTCGTAGAGCCAAGTCATTTTCTTGTAATTAGCAAATAAGTGTAAGCTTTTTTTAGTTTGGTCCACGTTTTAGCCCGCAATCCTAAATCGATTTTAAAAATTCAAAAACCGTTCGAAAGATATTTGTTGGAAATCTAGCTGTTTAGTTTTTGGTAAATATCGGGAAGGCCGTTTTTTGTTATTAACTAATAAATTTTTTTCTTTCGCCAATTTTTATAAAACTTTTTTTGGCCGTACATAGACCGTACTGAAATATTATGACCCTACAACAAATCGTTCAATTTTAAAAAATCATCAAAATTGAGAAAATCAGCATCGTTTTTTTTTACGTTTCTTAAAATTAGGCTTTCATCGCTGTTTGCTCAAAAAACGACTGAACCGATCTCAAAAATTTATCAGCTGCTTCAAAAACTTTAAAACTATCAAATTTTTTTCGCCGCATTTTAGCTAAAAATTTCTATCCGAGTTTGAAAATGCAAATAATATTCAAAAGATATAATATTCGAAAGATATAATATTATTTGGGAATCGTTCTGGTTAGTTTTGGACTAAAATCAGCCGGGCCGTTTTTTCGTAATAAATTGTTAGACGAAATCTCGATGATTTTACTGATTCTTGGCATGGCGGAATAGTATCTGGTTTTGATAAAAAAATATAAAAATGATTGAAATTTGAATTATTCGGCCGCGTTTTTAGAAAATACTCTGAGGAGTGTTCGTTTTCCAATAATTTGTAATAGAAACATTTGTACAGAATTATATAATGTACAATAGTTTTTCACATTATGAAGCCATACATCAAGTCGGCATACTTATATTACTCACAAATTAATATATTGATTTGGTTGATTATTTATACATGTCGGGAAACTCATGCAACTTGCCTTGAAGCAAAATGCCACTTACAACTAGTTATGTCTTTACTTTTGAAAACAAAATTTTCATATATAAAATTTTAATATACAGTAAAATATTATTTTTTTATACCATGAATATTAATATATATATATATATATATATATATATATATACATATATATATATATATACATGTCTGTTCAAAAAGTACCCGGAATTACTAATAATTAAATTTCGCGGGTCTGGAGTGTCTGATTGTCAAAATTTTTTTTTATTGTGTTGGTATACATGCCCCTAAAGTATGATGAAATTTTCAGCTATATTCACTGTTTACTTTGTCTGTGGTAGTCGCTAAGGTTCGACGTGTTTTTCTGAGCTCGGCGATTTTTACAATGGAAGAATTGAGAAAGTCAAAGAATTTGTATTAAATTTTGCGTAAAAAATGAAATAAAGTG